GCAGAGCTGGGCTTGCAGAGGGTACCATTTGAGGAACGAAAGCAGCAGAGAGAGGTGATCCAGTATCTGCATACAGAAGGTCACGGGAGGAGGATGTGCTAAGGGAGATAGGAGTGGATGTCAGAAGGCTGCCCCTTGTCCAGGCACCTGGGTGGCTCAGTCAGTCAAGCATCCAACTTTGGCTCGGGTCATGATCTCATGGCTTGTGAGTTCGAGCCCTGTCTTGGGCAGGATTTCTTAAAAATGAAGTTCCCACCGTGTTTGGCTGATGAGTAGATCTTCCCTTCAGTACAGCCACCTCAGGCGCCTTGAGGAGGAGGCATCTGCCTCCACTATCCTTCCCAGGGAGCCTAGCCAAAAGGGGGTGGGGGGGATGACCTTGCTCAGGAGCTCAAAGCCTTATGCCAGTTTGGTGGGAAATGGTTTCAGGAGGTGGTTTAACAATTGTTCTGGCTCTTGGGGATCCGCTGTGAACTGGGGAGCAGCTGTGTGATTGTCCGTGTTTTCCCTCATTGCTGGAGGATGCCTGCATGCCTTAGGATCCTGTGCTCTTGCCTGAGGCATAGGCCTTTGGGGGGGCTTTTCCTGTTGGGGGTAATGCATCCTTTCCTGAAGACAGCCTGGATCTGAATAGCAACCAAGTATGAAGGCCCTTAGCCATTGGTTTCTTTTTCTAAAGGGGATTCTGATGGGCTTAGGAGAAAAAGATTTATTAAAAAGCAAATTGACCCAAGTTGCCAGCTAAGTCCTGTTTATACCAGGGCTGAATGGATGGATTATGTTTTTGAAGGATATTGGGTAGAATTCCATGCTTACAAATACCTAATGCAAAACCAGCCCTGAATAACTGGGATTTGAAATAGAGCCCCTTTCCCCACCTGTACTTCCTGATAGGACTTTGGTGGTAAAACCTCCAATGTCAGAGACAGGAGATCAGTCAGGGAGTCCCAAGTAACAACTTGTTCTCTAGAGGTGAAGAGACAGAGGCCCAGAGTAAAGAAATGACCCAAAGTCACACAGCAGGTAAAATAACCAGGCCTGTGGCCAGATCGTTAGACTGAAAGCCCAGCGATCTGTGTGTAGTGTTGGTTTGCCACACCCATTAAGGGTGCTAGGGGCAGGCATGGTAGAAGTGTTCAGTTGCTCATCTAAGGGGTTTGGACTTGATTCAATAAGCCCTGAGAGCAGTTTGTTTGAGTAGGAAAAACCTGACGAGAGCTGTACTTGGGACATTTCTGGCAGGAGGTAGGGAGGGATCAGACACCTGGGTAGCCACTTCGAGGTGGCCACTTAGACAAGCAAGAGCATAGCTGCGGGTCATAGTTCTGAGAGGCTGGGCTGGGAAAACCAAGGGTCAACTAAGTGAACAACCTTGTCCAAAGTCAGCTGGCCGATCCATGCAGCTGAGGTTCAAGTTTGCTTTTAGTGCCTGTATTCTGGTTTCCAGTTCTTACAGTTAGAAGAAAGGTAAATACATAACAGAAGAGCACTGTTGTACATCTTCCCTAAGGCCAGTTCATGAGCAGTTACCAAACTGTGTGCACCCCGTGTGCACCCAGCCTGGTCACGGATTAGGGTTGGTAGTGGGCAGTATGTGCACAAGTGCTGTGGAGCTATATAAACTTTGTCCATTAAAAATATCTAAAAATTTTTTAATGTTTATTTTTGAGAGAGAGCACAAGCAGGGGAGGGGCAGAGAGAGAGACAGAGGATCAGAAGCAGTCTCCAGGCTCTCAGCTGTCAGCACAGAGCCCGACGGTGGGGCTCAAAGTCATGAACTGTGAGATCATGACCTGAGCCGATCAGATGCTTAACCGACTCAGCCACCCAGGTGCCCCTCAATTAAAAATATTTTAGAATGGGGGGTGCCTGGGTGGCACAGTCAGTTAAGTGTCCAACTCTTGGTTTTGGCTCAGGTCATGATCTCCCCTCATCAGGCTGTGTTGACAGTGCAGAGCCTGCTTGAGATTTTCTCTCCTCCTCACTCTGCCCTCTCCTCACATTCTCCCTCTTGTTCTCACTCTCAAAATAAACTTAATAGGAAACATTTTAGAATGGTCTGAGTTAGGGAGGTTGTTAGTAGATACTTGTTAGTCTAAGGAGAGGTGAATTTGGGGCACCTGGGTGGTTTAGTCAGTTAAGTGTCTGACTTCGGTTCAGGTCATGATCTCACAGTTCAAGAGTTAGAGCCCTGCATCAGGCTCTCCGCTGACAGCGTGAGCCTGCTTGGGATTCCCTCCCTTCCCCCCACAGTGTGTGTGTCTGTATCTCCGTCTCTCTCTCTCATTCACACACACAACACACACACACACACACACACACACACTGAAAAAAAAAGATTGAACTTATGTGACTTTAGCCTACATGTCAACCTCAGATCTGGTATCCATCAAATTAGACAACAGTTAGCACTACTGGCCATCATCCACACGTTGTCATGCCCCAGAGCCTTGAATGGAAAGATTTTTTTTTTTTTTAACTTGGGGATATTCATTCATAGCCTGTTAATATCTTGGCCACGTACATACGTTTTCGTTAGAGCATCAAAATCTGCCTCCTTATCCTGCTGGTTTTGTTTCCTTGCCTTGATTCCTTCTTTTGAGTTCCTGACACTTTGTTGACACATAAGCCAGCTCCCTGGTTTGAATTTCTGGTCACTTACCTATAGAGTAGCCTGCTAGCTCTTGAGACTTTCTGCCTCTTGCAGATGCTCTTTCCTAAGCCATTGCATGGCTTCATAGTCCTTTGCCAGTGATGCACAGGGCGATCCCCATATTGACAACTGCGGGTGAAGAGACATGTGTCACAGGCCTGTGCCACCTTATTTGTGCCAACCGTCTCCAGTTAGCTGTGTGTGCTGCTGCCTCAGGGAGCCTGGCAGCTCTTGTGCCTGCCCTCACTGCTCTGGCTTCTTCTCTCTTGGCATCCAAATGTGGCTTCCAGAGAGCCTTGAGTTCTTTGGGCAGTTTTTACTTCTCCTTTGCATGTGACCCTCTGCTGAGGACTAAGACTCCGATGTATCTTGTGCTTATCGACTTACTTTAGGTCAGATATAGAGACTTTAGGCAAAACTCCAAGCCTGTGGCTGTGGCTCCTGCAATTAAGTTCTGCTTCTGGTCTGGCCATTACAGGTTGTTTTAAAGACGGTGTCAAGCTCGGGTCTGTTTCCCAGTGTTCATGGCTGAAGTCTGGAGGTCCCACTCCTAATACTCTTAATCGTCTGAAAGGCTTGTGCTTCTGAGCTGTTTTCTAGGGAGTTGTGAAGTATTGAGAAGAAAGGTAACACCTGTCATTATTGCCAGGGTCCTGTGGAGGTCCTATAAAACTAAGTGAACATGGAAAATACAAGCATCATCTATAGGCTTCTTTACATCTTTTAATGTAAAGAAATCTCAGGAACAAGGAGAGAAAAAAACACTCTAATGACAAGGGATATCCTAGAACTATAAAGAGATCTTGGAAAGCCACTTTTCTCTCCAAATATTAGGTGTGATTTACATATGTTGTCAAGTAATTGCTTGTATAGGCAATTTGGAATATCCATTTCCCCCCATCTTAACGGTGTCTACTAGCCAACGGCATTCTCTCAGATCCCTCCCCATTTGATAATGACAGCTTGTGTGAGCTGAGACCACATCGCTTTTTGCTGACCTTGAACAGTGGCTCTGGTTTAGGGTTTCTTCAGCCTGGCTACCACACCTGAGCCTGCCCAGCACCCCCACGCCTAGCCTGGGTCTCCATCTTTCTAGTCCTCCTCTGGTTGACATCAGTGTCCTCACGCTGCTCTCCCACTTCTTGGTTATTGGCCCAGATTAGATGCTGGACCAATATTCGTTCACCTCTGTTGGTAAGCCACAGTCAACTTGGCTTGATAATGAGCAAGATGGGGTGGGCAGCCTGCGGTGGCTTCTCTGTTCCTTCTGCTATAGCCTGCTTTGCCTCGGCAGCCACAGGAGCTGGTAGTAGTAGTGGGCCAGTGCCAAGAGGCCTTTGTTTTAAACTGCCTTCTACATTCCTAGGTTTTCCCATCTGGAAAGGGGAGGGATGGTTAATCCCTAGGAGTATATATTTTGTGCCATGCGCTCTACACTTGATCTTAGCCAAAAGGCCAAGAAGTGATGTGCCATGTGCTCTAGAGGGACTGAAGATGAAGAGTTAAGTGTCCTCCTGCCAGTGGAATTGTGAGCTGGATGTAGATGGTTGAGGGGTAACCCTTACAAGCAATTTGTTTGCCAAACTGGGGCCCACACATTGTTCCTCTCTGCTTGAACATCCATATTCCTTAGAGATCTGAGAGGCTGCCCTCTTCATTACTTGTCCCTCATTCTGCTGTTTTCAAGGGATAAATATAGATGCATTTATATCTGATGGAGAGTATCTTCTTTCCACCTTCCATTTAGTCTTACCAAAATTCCTCTTATTGCAATTGATAGCTGTTTTATCCCATTTCTGATAAACGTGGAGCAAGATCAGTCTGGTGGTTAATAGCATGCCTTTTATGATACATACACATGAATAAGAAATTCAAAACTGTATCTTCCGGCATGCTAAGCTCAAACACAGAAGACCCTTGTTGAAAATCAGAATTTTTGCAGTGGTGCAAGATGGGCCTGTTACAGAATCAAAGTATGCCTGAAAAGGTGTATATGTAGACTCTCAGGGTGTGTGTGTGTGTGTGTACACACATAGAGAACTGGTTTAGGGGGTGCTGCCTCCAGCGAGGACGTGAAAGTGTGACCAGCTGGCTACATCTCCCTTCTTGACGGCCTGTAGGAAGGGTATGTGCCATTTGTAAGCCCTTTGCTGAACTCTTCTTTCTCCTACTTGGGATCCTGTGCAAGCCTGTGAAGGAGGGCAGACTATTTGGCAATGTTCCTCACAGTTGTCCTTAAAGGAAGGCAAGATTCTCTTGCTCAGGTTCAGGTCCTTGTCAGCAGAGCCTCTGGAAGGTGACAGAGCTTTGCCACAGCGAGCAACTGACCAGAGCCTTTTCCTTCCAGGGACGAGAAGAACCAGTCCATCATAGTCAGCGGGGAGTCTGGAGCTGGCAAGACCGTGTCAGCCAAGTACGCCATGCGCTATTTTGCCACCGTTGGTGGCTCAGCCAGTGACACCAACATTGAAGAGAAGGTCCTGGCATCCAGTCCCATCATGGAGGTAAAGCCTTTCCAAATGTACTTGGCTTCTCTGGCTGGAATTCCTTTCTCTGCCAGCAAGACTGCTGGGTGTTCAGCCTTGTGGGGTTGCCTTGGAACAAGAAGCCTTGGAAGCAGCTCGTGTGGCCCACGTTCATGCCTTCTCCTCACCCGTTGTCTGCTCTTGAGGAAAAAACTCTGAAGGTGCCCCTAAGACCCCAGAATTGGGAGTACTCTAACCTGGTAGTGCCCTTCAGGTCCCCAGTATCGAGTGGAGTGTCCGCTAGTGAGTGTCCTTCCGTTCTCCCTCCCCTTCTGCCACTGGTCCTCCCCCCTCCTGCTGCCATGTGTAAGCAAATCTGCATTTCACCCAAACCATCCAGTGCTTTGAAGGGCTGATGGATCAGGAGGGCAGTTTGCATGGGGGTGGGAGGACTATGTAGAAGATTTCCTGTTTTCTCCTAGAAACATTTGGATGTTTTATTTGGGGGTAGGGGGAAAGGTTAGAGCCAAAAGCTAAGTGGTGACCCAGAATTTGTTGATCTTCATAAAGCAGTTACCTATGATGGCCTGAACTGGCCAGGGAAGGTTCTGTCTATATCTTGACTCCCCACCCCCAGGCTTAGAGCAGTCAATACAAGTACAGGGCCAGAGAGATTTCCTAAAACTTAGATCCTGCTGTAAAGCGTCATGTTTTAGGGTCACAACTCCTCTTCCTTTCCTCCAAAAAACTTAATTCTGATAAAGTCGATCTAAATGGGCACACAGTCCCTGGGCCAGCTTTGATTTCCTGCCTCTGAAGTGGGGGCTCTTGATTACCATGTGACTTACAGTTTGGTTGGAATCAACCCCCTGCCAGTTTGGGGCAGCTCCTTTGTTTTAGGACAAAGAAATTCATTTGAGGCTGAAAGCTGCCAAAGTAGTATCAGATTTCTCTGCAGTGCCTTAAGACCCATCGATTAAGACCCAAGTCACCAAGATGGTTCATCTCTCAGATTGTTTTGGAGCTGGAGGAAACAAGAACCTGCTTGGACCTTCCTTTCCAGATCCCCCCCCACCCTTTCCTTCTTCCTTCTCCAAGTTCGGGAGTAAATTCTGAGTCTCAATTCATAGGAATTCGTTGATTTTGTAGGCAGTCTCCTGACTACACGGTTGGAGTATCTGTAGAACTTTCATTCTCTGTCAACTAACAGAACACAATATATTCATTAACAGTTCAACAAAAGCCAATTTCCATATCTGTTCTTATATGGATTGGGAAATGGTCAATACAGTTGGAGACATTTTTACCAGGCAGATGTAAACAAACTTCTGTTACAGTGGTTCTTAAACTTGACTGGATCAGAACCACCTGGAGGGTTTGTTAAACGAGATAGCTGGGTTCACCCACGGTGTTTCTGATTCAGAAGGTCTGGGTAGGGGTCTCAAAACTTGCCTTCCTATTAAGTTCTTAGGTGACGATGATTCTCCTGGTCTGAGTACTACAGTTTGAGAACTATTGGCTGATGAAAAAGTAAGAAGGGGTCATTGGAAAATATGGATGAGTAAAAGGAAATAATCCACCTCCTAATTCTACAGCTTGCTGAGGGTTGTTCAACATTTGGATTTGTTTCCTTTCAGCTTTTTCACTGAATATTGCAGTCATAAGCCTTATCCCTTATATCACTGAGCTTTTGTTATGAACTGCCTTATATGCTGCAAATATACTAATATTGTCAGACATTCAACTTGTTGATAGCCCATTTGCTCATAGCATTTATTCTAAGCCCAAGGTGGTGGTCTGGTCATAGCTTCATTTCAGAATGTGATGGTGGACCTACCCTGGACCATCTATGTGCCTGAAAATTGAAGCGGCTAAGATTGTAATCTACAATTACCATTATGTTTCCTCTCAAATGAAGTGAAACCAGGCTTTCAGCCTTTCTTTCGCCCCTGAGATTCAAAACTCGGTTCATTATTAAGGTAGTAAGTTTTCAAAGACAGAGTACTGCCCCCTTTTGGAAGCAGTAGATAGTTTTTCTAGGTGAGACAGAGAAGGGAAGTCCTCTCTGGTGACTGAACAAAGTAATTTTAGTCAAGATGAGAATTTAATGAGGGTAGATCACCACATTAAACATGTTCAAGACACAGGAAGATTTTTTTAAACTTGTTTTATGGTAAACATACATAAAATATACCATTTTGATTATTTTACATGAGCAATGAATGGTGTTAAGGATGTGCATAGTGTTACGCAGCCATCACCACCATCCATTTCCAGAACTTTTTCATCATCCTGGTTTGTACTCATTAAAGAAGAACTCCCTTTTCTGCCCCCACCCCAACTCTAGTAACTTCTATTCTACTTTGTGTCTCTCTGAATTTGCCAATTTTAGGTACCTCATATAAGTGGAATCATACAGTATTTTTTTGTGTCTGACCTATTTCACTTAATGTTTTCCAAGTTGACCCATGTTGTAGAATGTAGGAGTACGTCCTTTTTATGGTTGGGATATATTTTTTTGCGTGGGTATGCTGCATTATGTTAATCATTCCTCTGTTAACGAATCATTGGGCTTTTACCTCTTGGCCAGTTGTGAATGATGCCACTGCACAGTAGCCTGCAGGCATTGGAGTTCCTACTTGGGGAAAGTTTTTTAAATGATGGTAATCTAAAAAGATCTAACGTTTCAATATCTATTATGTCCTGAAGGGGCAGGTGCACTGCTGGGAATTCAGAGTACTTTGGCATGGGAGAAATGTGGGAGCAAAACACATAAGATGTGGTTAGGTCGCTGAGGTCTAAAGGGGGAATGTACTCATGAAGCAGCCTCCTCGCGCACCATGTCCCATGACTAAATGCTACAGTGGTTGGGACGCACAATGTTAAATTTCTGCCTTGTGTGAATTGGTACTTTGGAAACCATCCAGGTAATTCCTTAGGACTCAGTATGTCAAGTTATAGAATTTGGTCATCATAGGGACTGCCCCTTGACCTTTAAGTGTTATGTTTGGGATAAATCTTGGATATAAACATGGAAAGGGAGAATCCCAGCCGGGAAGAACTCTGGGTGGGTTAGGAAGTGTTGCTGAGTGGAGAAAAACCAGCTTCTGTGGTGCTAAAATCTAACTTGTCATGAGTCTGGAGTCTAGCTGGGCCCCCGTGTCAGGAAGCCCAGTCAGCTTTGTCACTCCTCTGAGAGTTAGAGGCAGCATAAGACTTGTCTTCATCAAGGGACAGCTGATGACAGATGATTCTGCTCCTGTCCTGGCTCAGGATGGCACCTCCTGGCTGAGCAGTCAGTTATGCTCCTGCATCATCTCCTTATTTCTGCACCCCAGCACTGCAGCCACCTCCTGGGGAGCCAGAGCTGAGGACAATCGTAGCCGGTGGAATCCCCAACCGTTTGTACTAAGTGGCAGTTGTTTGACTTAAAGGCAACTCGGGGGTGGGTTGGGGTGACTTGCTCCCTGCCCTCCTCATGACAGCTTGCCAGCATCTGGGCACTGATAAGTTCACAAGTCTGCGCTGATTAAGAAGATATTGGTAATCGAGAGACTGTCAAAGCAGGCCCAGGACCAAGATGCATCATGTGGCATCTTGGGGTGACCAGAGTCTGTCTGCACACAAGTCCAGGGACCAGAGGCTCCCCCAGCCTGGGATGAAGGAGGGCTAGGCATATGGTGAGCAAACGCAATATAGACTAAGACCGCTTACTATGTAATCTTGGAGATTTGAGTTTTTTAAGCTCAAGCAACCAGGCCTACAACTATTAACCTATTCATATGAGAGTCTGCACCCAAAATAACTTAGTTCTCCTCCTCCTGTCTCATGTGTCAACACTTGGGCCATTCCACACACTCGGGTGCCCTGTCCCTGTGCCCACACCATGTCCATAGCTAGAAACCCTCCCTCCCTGCTAGCAGATTCTACTCACCCTGAAGACCCTCAATTTATGCTCCTTACAGCTATTCTGGTTGTGCTGAGCATGGCTCATTGCTCCCTTCTCTGTGCTTCCACACTATTGGTATGACCCTCATTGTTATATAAGCCTAATCCTACTGAAATTCTTCCAGGCCATTTGGTCCCGCTACATATTTGCATATGCATAAACCATGAAGAAGGTGCTCCTCTTACATCTTATGTGAGTGGTAGTGTATTCTGTCAGTCATTTTTGCAACTTCATTTTTTAAATTTATCCACGAATCATGCTGTAGCTTTTACCAGCTTTATAGTGTCCTGTTGTGTGAACACACTACACTTTATCTCCTCCCCTATTAGTGGGCATTTAGGATGGATTTCTTCTCTTATTAAGTACAACCTGTATTGAACATTCTTGGAGTTCCTACCAAGTGTGCTTAACCAGGTGTGCACTTGGGGATTTTTTCCAGGTGATACCCAAAGGTAGAGTTGCCAGACTGTTAGGTGCATGTATATTCAATTTTACTAGATGGGTCCAGTTACTTTCCAGAATGGTTTTTCCGGTTTCCATGTGAGCCAGCAACAGAGGAGAGTTCCTTTGTCCTCCCCTCTTACTCATTCTGTAGTGTCAGAGTTCTTAGTGTGGCCCCTCTGTGCTGCTGTTTTAGTCTTCAGTTTTCTGATGACCATGGAGGTTATCTTTTCTTAGGCTTACTGGTCATAGGAGTTTCTTTTGTGAATTTCCTGCCTCTAGCATTGCTCATTTTCCAGATTTTAACCACTTGCATCATTTATGCTTTTTTGTGGTGGTGTTGGTCTGTGGGACTCCAGGTTAAAACCTGATTTTCTGTTACCATCTTTAACTTGCTTTCCTTATGCAGTAAAACGTTTTCTGAGTCAGGGTAACCAGAAAAATGTAGCCAGAAAAATCAAGAGTTTACAAGATGAAGAACTGCATGTGAGTCCTTTACACACAGAAGTTGGGGAATCCTTCCTACCCAGGTTGAGTTTATGGGTTTTGTGGTGGTAAATAACCTTTTTGTGGGTGTCGTTACATACTTGTAAAGTATTTCCACATCTGTCATTTCTCAAAACAGCCCTCAAGAGGTGAGGAGCATAGATCTTTTGACTGTGATCTTCAGGCCTTGGGCAAGCTCTCCCTAGGCCATCACAGGAAGTGGCCTCAGCTATGGTGCCCTTGTTGCTGCCTTACAAATCATGGAATTTGAATATTTTGATATTTTGCAATTGAAATGCATTTATGGAAACTAGGTTGTCTTTTACAGTTTTCCACAAACAGGACTTGGCTAATTGTATCCTCATGATGCTGGTGATGTTCCCTTTCTCCCTATGTTTCCTGTAAGAGGGCAGTAAAATTCAGAGGCTTGATTAAGTTGAGGCTGGACTGTTGGCACACATCTGGCACAGCACACTGGGTGTACTTGGGTGGCAAGTTGGATATGTAGGGCGCAGGTGCTCTTGGGTTGAATAGCTTCCTTAGTGCAAAGCCAGCCCTAGGTTCCTGCGAGTGAATGGTTGCATGCCTGAAGGTCTCGCGTCACCTCACAAATAGGAATGGGATGTTTTCATGAGCGTCTAGTAATATGATTTTTAAAAAAATTAATGCTTTATTTTTGAAAGAGAGCACAAGTGAGGGAGGACAGAAAGGGAGACACAGCATCTGAAGCAGGCTCTAGGCTCTGAGCCTGTCAGCCCAGAATCCTACATTGGGCTCGAACACATGAACTGGGAGTTCATGCCCTGAGCTGGAGTCGATTGCTCGACTGACCGAGCCACCCAGGCGCGTCTCTTACTGTGATCTTTTTTTAATGTTTTTTGTTTTGTTTTGTTTTGTTTTTCCCCTAGGAGAGAGAGAGAGAGAGACAGTGTGAGCAGGGGAGGGTCAGAGAGAGAGGGAGTCACAGACTGAAACAGCCTCCAGGCTCTGAGCTGGCTGTCAGCACAGAGCCCGATGCGGGTCTCAAACCCACGAACCGTGAGATCATGACCTAAGCGAAAGTCAGACGCTTAACTGACTAAGCCACCCAGGTGCCCCTCTTACTGTGATCTTTTAACCAGTGATTTGCTTTCAGCTATGTTGTTTCCCTTGTTCATAACAGATGCCAGCTAAGCCTTATGTAGTTTCAGGATGTCCAGAGATCCCAGTAGTTCCGTAACTTGGATTTGGCTGAGAAGAGGTAGAGGGTGGGATGGGATTTTAGATTTTTCTTCAACCTCTGCATGCCACAAATTTCCTCGACAACTGAAAATGTGTAGTGAATATTTTCCAACCACCTAAGAATGGAAACATCTGAAAGGAATTAAAATATTAATATATTCATTTTTATTAGTAATGTGATGTTCTATAGAAAGCAAATAATCATGCCAGGTTATTTAGCTGCTCACTTCTTAAATTATCCTCTGGGGGCACCTGGATGGCTCAATTGGTTAAGCATCTGACTTTTGGTATCAGCTCAGGTCATGATCTCACACTTTGTGGGTTCACGCCCTGTGTTGGTCTCAATGTTGGCAGTGCGGAGCCTGCTGAGGATATCTGTCTCTCTTTCTCACAATAAATAAGTACATACATACATACACACACATTAAAAATAAGTAATTGTCTGCTCTTTTGAATGGCACCCATGCAGCTGCATAAGAAATGGTACCAAGGAGGTGATGTCTTCCTGATTTGATCTGGTGGGGAGATGCCGAGGGGTTGGTGTTGATCTTTGGCCTCTTTCTAGGAAATACGATTTATCAGTTGGGAATGACATTTGACTGCTTAGTCATGGAGGTCTGATCAGAGCATACAAAGGTTTGTTTTTCTCAAAAACATTGCAGAGTTCTTGGATACTGGTATTGGTTTAATAGCTCCAGTGTGTCAGAGTGGTGCTCTCAGTGATTCTCTAGACCTTTCCTTCATGTAGCCATCATATGCACATTCCAGGTAGGATAACTTGACAGAGTTCATGAATCAAGTCCTTACTCTCCCTGGCCATCCTTAGGAGTAAAGGAGGCAGGAAATGAAGTTTTGTTTTTAGCTCAGTCATGGTCATCCCAACAGTCGGGGAAGTCCTGTAAGGAAGGGAGAGAGGAGAAAAAGGGAGATGCTGCCACAAACCTACAGCCTTGAGATCAAGAAAGCTTTCCTGGTTTTGCATTACTTGTGCTTGTTCTGTGCAGGCCATCGGAAATGCTAAAACCACTCGCAATGACAACAGCAGCCGTTTTGGGAAGTATATTCAGATTGGCTTTGATAAAAGGTACCACATCATTGGAGCCAACATGAGGACCTACCTGTTGGAGAAGTCCAGAGTGGTCTTTCAGGTGAGTGGTGTGACTTGGGCCTCTTTGTACTTTGTCCCAGGAGTGAAGCTTACTTGGCCCCTCACCCGCCCCTGTTCCCAGAGAGCACCTCCTCCTCCAGAGGTGGAATTGGATGTTTGTTCTTATGGTTTTCTTTCCTTTCATCAAAAAGTGTTTGTTCAAATGCTATGGGCATCAGGTCTGAGAAATCTTCTACCCAATATTGTGGGTTTTTTTTTTAATGTTATTTCTGAGATAGAGACAGTGTGAACAGGAGAGGGTCAGAGAGACAGGGAGACACAGAATCCAAAACAAGCTTCACTCTCTGAGCTAGCTGTCAGCACAGAGCCTGATGCGGGGCTCGAACCCATGAATCATGAGATCATGACCTGAGCCAAAGTTGGATGTTTAACCGACTAAGCCACCCAGGTGCCCAATATTGTCTTAAAGTGGATATTGTTTTTAGCTTCAGTCAACACACCTAATGAGTGCCTGTCACATATCAGCCCTGTGCTAGATACCAGAGATCTGTGAAGACTAAGATATTCTGTTGTTGTGGAATGTAGTCTTAGGATTAGGGGAATGTTGTACAGGGTCTCTGGGCTTCAGCTTTCCCCAGAAACTTTCTTATTTTGTAGGTTATATTTTTAAAAACCCAAAGAACACTACTTGGACATGCACCTAGCCTGAAAACAGGCCTTCTCCAGCCCCCTTTTGATGGTCTTGTACTTGAGCCGAGATGGTGTGTGTCTTGGTCTGAGCCAGCCACACGCTCTTCCCACCCCAAATTTGGCTGCCTTCAGAGGGGACGTCTGAGACAGCCTTGGCTGCTTCTCAGAGATGCCCGTCTTCATGGGGATGTTTAACAAACATCTAGTGAATTTTTTTAACTAGTCTTAGTAGTTTTTTCCCTTTTCCTGTTCAGGCTTTCTCTCCACCTCCCAAATTTTAGTTCAACAGCCCCATATCCTTATCTCACTGCAGCAGAGGAAACAGCCTGCTGTGCTGGGGATGGGTCTGAGCTGGCTGTGGCTTTGGCCAGACTCTTCTCTGAACACTCCTTGAGCTTTCTTCTTCCTTTGTCCATACCTCCTGACGCTTCCCTCTGCCCCCCCACCACCACTCTGCCAGCTTAAGGCAGGTGTTGCCTGAGCATGTGCTCAAAGTCCAGTCTCCATCTTGGACTTGGTGTGACTACCCCGGCCTGTCATGATGGGCAAGGGCATAGCTCTGACTTAGTTCCAAGCCTCCCAGAGGAGAATGGGAGCCTCCTGCTGGTAAGTTACCATCTGTGCAGCATGAACCAGGCAGCACGGATATGTGAGCAAGTGTGTGTTTTCTGACCATTCATGGTCAACTTCCACTGTTTGTCAGAGAAAAAATAAACGAGAGGTTAAAAATTAAAAAATATCCAGGCTCAAGGAAGGCCCCATAATAGTGACTGGGAAATCTGGAGGTGGGAAGTGAAGGTAGCAGAGGCGTAGAGGAAATCGTGAGCACCAGTCCTGACCTCTGTCACCCTCAGGACCCTGAGATTAGAACACATGAGGGGATGATCTTTGGGGTCACTGCCCTAAATCTGTTTAACTTTTCCCTCCAGGCAGATGATGAGCGGAATTACCACATCTTTTACCAGCTCTGTGCTGCTGCCAGTCTTCCGGAATTCAAAGAGCTTGCCCTAAGTACGTAAACGTGCCTGCACCTATCGTCGGGTGGGCCGCTGCAGCACCAGGGGCTACGTCTGGTGGCCTGGAGAGGAGGAAGGGTGCTTTGCTCAAAGCCCTCCATTGTGGGTCTTTGTCCCAGCGCTGCCTCCCATGTGGGCCTGTCCCCCAGACCTCTTTGAGCATCAGTACCCAATCTATAAAATTGGGCTCATTGTACCCAGGCTGCCTGCCACAGAAAAACCGTTTGAGAGGATAAGAGGCAGGGGGTAGAAGGGTATTTTGCAGAACACAAGAGTTTCCATGCTGTATTTTGAAAAAAGCTTCCACTTTAAACTTCATAAAAAGGATCTAAAGATTTAGCTAATGTGCATCATGTAATGGTGGCCAATGAGTTTTAGGTCCTTTTTAAGGACGAAGATGAAGAAAGGGAAGGAGAGCGGGAGCAGGATGAAGATGGATAGTTGAGTGGGATGGAGGATGATGGCCACCACGCACTCTGCTTTCTTCTGAGCAGGTGGGGTACTGTGGTGTGCACATACCGGACTGTTGCAGGGCGAGATGGAGTGACTAAAAGTGCCTCTCCACGGAGTCATCTGGTTGTTACCATCAGATAAAAACACAACCTTTCACTTGTTTGCTAATTCTGTGGCCACGGACTCTTGGCAAGTTTAGCTTGCCTGGAGACTGTGGATGTGGAGCCGGGGCAAAGCAAGAGGAATGAGCTTTAACTCTTGACCCCACCAATGGGGGGCGTTGGGGCCTGGGACCTTCCCCCTTCCATGCTCTGGGACTCTGTAAGGCCTGAGTCCTCAAATCCATCTCCTGAAAGGTATGTGATGTGCACAAGCCTGGGGGCCTCGCAGCATCCTACGTGTGCCAAGTGTCCTGTCTCTGGCCTCCTGTGTGTATTTTAGGGAGGGGAGGGGAGGTTCGGCAGTAGCAGATGGTGTGACGAGCTGGGTGTCTAGACAGAGGCTGGGTGGTCTTTGTGGAACTGTGAGAGAAGTAGACTGCTGAAGCTTTGCTGTCTGTGACCCAAATCCTAGCTGTGTTGAGGGCCCGAACCCAGACCCACCTCTGACTGCTCCAGCCTAGGTTCCTAGTAGCTAAAACACACCAAGTGGTTTAAACTTCAGGCTCCCCTCATAACTCTCTGCCTCACTTAGGAGTTCCTGCAGCATTAGGTACCTGGGCCGTGCAATTCAGCCTTGGGTCCTTCCTTCGTCTGGTCATTGAACCGTATGTAGGTGGTGGCAAGTACTGCAGATGTTGTGCTGAGCATAACCGTTGTGGGCCCTGCCCTTGGCTTACAGGCGGTTACAGCAGAGAGCAGCAAGGGTGTGCTGAGTGCAGCATAGCCGAGGTGGGGTGGGAGGTTCCCAAGGGACATGAATTGAGCCCCAAAGTAGGAATCCTGGGATGGCATATATTATGCTGGCTTTCTGCTGTACTCTGTTCAGTGTTTGCAAATTGGAATCTTCCCTAGTGAAGCTATAAACTCCTTGAGGCTAAGGAGTGACAGCTGCAAGCCTTGTTTGATGAGCACCTCCCTGAGCTGGCACCTTGGGCTGTGATGTTGGCTTATGGCCACAAGTGACCAGGAATGTAGGCCACACTAAGGGCCTTTGTCACCCACCTCTTTCCTTCCCAGAGTGGGGACATGGGTCTAGCTAGATTCCTCAGAGCCAGTTTGCAGGGGATAAAAACTAAGGTCATTTTTATTAGAAAAATGAACAAGTTCCGGCAAGGTACTATGTATTTGGTCCCAAGTAACTTTCAGGAAATAGGAAAAAAGCCCAATTTTTTGCACTTAAGTGCATTGAATTAAAAAAATCTTTTTAAAAAAGAAGCTTTTCCTTATCCTTTCTTAGCCCCCTCTTTGGGCCTCTGGCTGGAGCCGTTGAAAACTACCTAATTCGATCAATTTCTTGCGCTGTTTTTACCTGTGTGTGCCCTCCAAGAACATCTTGGAAGAAAGCTAAGGGGTGTTGATGAGCTCTTGTGCTCAGGGTCGAGGGCTGTGTTCGGCCTCGGGGTGCGTTGGCTGTGAGCTCTGAAGCTTGACCTTTAGTTCTGCTGATAACCCTGGCTGAGTGGCTGGAAACATGCAGTAAATGAGGGACTGGCCAGCGGTTCCTAGAGGATATTTAGACTGCCTCGCCTCCTTCCCCTTTTTCTTCACCTAAAACATGCTACTTAACTCTACAGAAGTCTCTGCGAGACCCCTGGCCCAGCAAGGGGTGTGTGCATTTGGGCACAGAGGAGCAGATCTGCAGCCAGTCGTCTCTCTTTCCCTCCGCCCTACCCTATCGTTGGTGGCCTCTTGCATTAAAATGACCTCAGGATGAGATTTAAAGAAAAATACTCCAATGGGTGGCTGCAGTGTTAATAAATGTGGTAAATGGAGGTATAATGGGCTTATATTTCCTTGAATACAGCCTTCAGCTAATGAGGAATAAATTCTTTTTCACTTATATCAGTGTATTGATAGCTTTATAAAAAGCCTCTGTTGCCTCACACAGTTGGAGCCTGGCCTCCCCGGTGAGGTGCTAGCCCTCAGCTGTGGCCCCTGAGGCTCTAATCACTGGGCTCATGCTTCCTCTGTGGTCCATACACGTTCTGCTTCGGCATCTGCCTGTTGAGTCAGTTACTAGGGGATTTTGTGTTTTCTCTCTATTTGGAAATGCTGAGTAAAGAGAGAGCCAACTGGAAGACAAGAGGTGCTGCTCGGATGAGATGGTCAGTGATGGGTTCCGAGGCTGGAAAGGAGAGCCAGGATCCCGGGCGGCAAGCAGCTGGCGGAGAACCCTTTCCTGTTGGGATGTCTCTTATGAGGGTCTAGAATGTGATGGGGACACAGGTGATTGCAAACCTAAAAGGAGCTGATAATCTTTTTTTTTTTTTTAATTTTTTTTATTTCTAGGAGAGAGAGAGACAGCGTGATCAGGGGAGGGTCAGAGAGAGGGGGAGATACAGACTCTGAAATAGGCTACAGGCTCTGAGCTGGCTGTTAGCACAGAGCCTGACACGGGGCTCAAACCCACGAACCGCGAGATCATGACCTAAGCGAAAGTCGGACGCTTAACCAACTAAGCCACCCAGGCGCCCCTGGAGCTGATAATCGTGATTGCGCTCAAATCATTTAGCAGAGTGAGCTGTGACTGACCTAGGGGACTCCCCTCCCCCCGCAGTGAGCCAGAGGAAGTCCCCTGCTGGGCCTGAGTTTGGGAGCTGGCAGCAGGGAAGGTGAATGGTCTGTTTGACTCAGAACATCAGGCTGCAGGGCCCTTGCTGTTGACAGTGAAGGGTCTTGGTAGATGCTGAAAACACCTCCTTTCCTCCAGCAGCGAAGTCTGGTTCCCTCCTTTGGAGTCTCAGCTACCTATTTTTCTGGTGTGTCAGCTGATAACTTTTGACAGTGAGTTAGGTTGTGTTTATGGCAAAACCATGTCATAAACCACCATCTCCATGATAGGGTGATCAAGTAATGGGCCCCCAGGCCTGGGCAAAGTCTGGGGTGGGGGGGGGTGTCTCAGTGATCCCTTCAAGCCCTATGTCCCTCAGGACATATTTTTCCTATCTGAAAAATAGTAATAAATATGTGCACTCATCTTCACGTGGGCTCTGCCACGTCATCAAAGGGAGGTACTTTGAAAGCTGAATGAAGAGGAAAAATGGATGCTTTTCATAAGCCTTGGAAACTGTTGTGTCCTGTGCCAGAGCCTGTAGGGCGATTAGATATTAGAGAGGTGAATATGCCACCTTCCACAGAGACCTGCTGTGACTTAACAGTTCACCTTTGCTGTGGCTGCCAGCACGCCCGGGGCTCAAGTCCTTCCTCTTCCTGCTCAAGTGCTACTGTCATCTGAGTGTGTTTGAGCTACTCCTCCATGAAGCCTTCAGCCATAAGCTACAACTTGGCTCCTCATTTTTGTGGGCAGTGCAGGTCCTGGCTCGGACTGTGGGGGACAGGTCTTGGGTCTGAGTTCTGCCACTTCCTCGCAGCGTGCACTTACGGGACGAGTGTGGCTTGGAGCAGGAAGTACAAGGTGGGGAACGGAAGAGACCAGAAAGGAGAGGTAGACAGGGCCGCTGTGGGCCTGGACCCCAGGGGTAGAGCTGACCAATGACAGCGAGGAAACCGGCAGATCTGAGACCAGAGATGGGAAAGCAGCCCTGAGTCCAGAGGGGTGGGAGTAGCCTGTGACTGCTTCACAAAAGGCCCTGGACATTTCTTCAGGATGTGTGACCTCTGTTTTCAGGCATGGGGGTGGGAGGGCCTCTCTAAAGGGCTTTACATAGGGTTGCAGTGTGATCAGAGTTACCAGCAGTTTGAAAGTGGATTTGAAGGGACAGGAGAAGTATGGAGACTGGAGACAGCCCCCAGACAGCAATTGTTGAAGGTCACACCCAGGCGATGACCATGGGAATGGAGCAAGGAAAGAGAGTCAAGAAATTCTTACTGGATCAAACTGGCAGATGAGGGTGTTGAGGGAGGACTGAGCATCACAATGAAATGGCCTCTAAGACTGTTTAACTGATGCACGCTCAAACCGTATGCACTCAGATCAAGGAGAAGTAATTTGGTCTTTACAGGAGATGAGCACCAGCCAGTGTCCAACTTTGTCATCTTGTCAAAATCAAACGTTGTACACTTAGAAATTCCAAACAGTGGGCAGGGTTGTATTCCACAAAGGGACTGTATTTTATGGAAAATGCAATTTTCTGAAGTAATTCTGATGAGGTGCCCTTGTTAGCCTAAATGCCAACTTCCTGCCCTGTCCTGCAGATTTTGCCCAGGGCTTGTTGCCGTTTTGCCCCCTGCTGAGGTTGACTGAATCCTAAGGCAGCACCGGGGACCCTCCTTACCACTTGTCCCCCAGGCTATTATCAGAGGCCTGACTGAGGAGGAATTGAACTGGAGGGGAGAGCAAAACACAAAAGAAAGGTCTCAACTCACTTTTATTCACGTGTCTGAAGAACTCAGGGGGGCCCAACTTGGTAAAACAAAGGAACAAAAACCCACGTCCCCTTGGGCACATTGGTGCCCCTCATTTGTTAAGTGAGGCTGTGAGACTGAGATTAATGGTCGTGGAAGTCTGATGTTAGGGTGGGTGTACATCTCCTTGCGTACCAGATCCTCTTGAAAGGCAAATCTGTGGTGAATCCTGAAAATTGAACTACCCATGACTTACGTTCACCTGTTTTTCACATGCTGGTTTTATACAAACATAACAATGCAATTTGGGCAGCATAGCGTAACGTTCTGTGTTTCCATATCCGGTTTTCACTCTATTTGCCATTGTCCATGAAGATGGCCTCTTAAAGGCTTCCACCTCGGCTGGGAATAAGATTTCATCTGGGATGAGTAGAAATCCTCTTGGGTCGTGATCAGGGTAAACCAGGGATGCCTTTTTTCCTCTCCTCCCACAGCGTGCGCGGAAGACTTCTTCTATACCTCCCAGGGAGGGGAGACATGTATCGAGGGTGTAGATGATGCTGAGGACTTTGAGAAGACACGGCAAGCCTTCACACTCCTCGGTAAGCATCTCCTAAGTGGGGAAGTGCCCAGAAGATTGATTTCACGGAGAGGAGAGAATCATGACAGTGTTCCACTTGGCCAACCTTGGCAAGCTGATAGGGAAGCCCTGTTGCCCTTCACAAATGTCATCCCCCTTAATCTATCCCATCCCTTGGGTTCCGAAGTTTAAGACTTATAGCTTTGTTGATCTGTCTTAAAAATAAGGGTTTGTGAGTTGCTCTCTTAGGCACTGCAAGACAGCCCTCTTCGCTTCCCCAGGCCATCAAAGCCGGTGGAGGAAAACAAAAAAGAGCTACATCCTCTCGTACTGTGGTCTGGGTTCAGAGGCCATGTGTTCTGGCAGAAAGAGCGTGTCTTTTGGACCAAATCACTCACGTACCACAGTCGTGGGATCCGAGTTGCAAACAGACTATAAAAGTCTTGGGGGCACTCCTAATACAACGGTGTGTTCTCACCGTTTCTGCATAGAGGGTAACAGTGGCATTCTTCAAGATTTCTTTGTCATTCTGGGCATAAAGGGCCACAGAGTGAGAGAAGACTCCTCTCCCTGCCCATTTTTGTGGAAAGAGGAGCCCAAAGTGGTAAAGTAGAAGGCAATTTCCGTTTCCCGAATGAGTCAATTCCTGGGACCCACAGCCAGAAAAAAATAAAATTTAGCAAATCAGCCTGAAATTCATGAAGTGGCTGAGGATGGCCCTTGTGTTTTCCCCAGCCCCTTCTGACAGAGGTAGCCATTTGGCTCATGAGTCCTGTGACTACTCCAGAGCAGCGTTTCTTAGGTTCTTTGATGGGAATCTCGCAAGTCTTACCCAATGTCCAAATAAAACCTGGCCGACCAGGGAATACCCTAATCTCAATACGGGTAGAACCAGGACTTTATGTGCTGAAATCTCAGTGCTGTTCACCTGTCTGGGTAACCGGTGGGGAGACACAGTTTGTCTTTTGTAACCCGTGAAATGATGAGGACATAAAAACCACAGTGGTCATTTCAACAGTTGGTGATTATTAAAAAGAGTGTAAGGACTTGAGGGGTGCAGAAATAGCGGGTGCTAAAGAATAGCTGCTCCTTTTAGGGTGAGGAAGAGTGGCTAATAAAAGATCTGTTACTTGGCTGAGAGGTCAGTCACTTCCAGGAGCCCGTGGTTATTACACAGGTGAAGAAACCTGCCAGAGGGCATGGCCATTGCTGGTTTCCCCGGGAGCCTGCAGGTGCCTCAGGGTGTGGTGGGCCCCGAAGGTCTCAGAAGCAGCTGCTAATGGGGAGAATATGGCCTATGGACATCACAGTGGCTCATCTGGGGAGGTTGCTATGTTGCTGAGATGAAGACTAACAATAGTGATCAGAACCAAGAACAGGCCTGTCCCCTTGCTGCTCTTGTGTCATTCATTGAGTCACTACCGTGCTCTTTGACCAAGCTGGATATTCCACCAGTGGGCAAAAGGGAAAGACAGGGTCTACCTAGCTCCAGTATCATAAAGTGGGGCGGATTTGAAACTGAGAGTAAATTGATACACTTAATGGTAAGCAGGGTAACATTCTGCCCAATTTGCCAGGAGGAGGTCCCTGGAGGCTGCCCCTGTGTTGCTGCTGTGAGCAGTGGGCACGTATTGATCCGAGGATAAGTTGGTTCCTTCCAGGGCTCTAAGGAACTTGGGGACTTTTGTTCACAAAGCAAATGGCATTTCCAGATCTATTGTAATAAGCTGTTCTTCTTTCCTCTTCAGTAAACATGTCCACTTTTTTACTCAGGGGTTGGCAAAGTTCGTTGAAGGACAGGATTATAAATATTACTTGGGATTCTTTGAATTATGTAGTTTTTGAAGCAGCTAGTCAATTTTGCTGCTGTAGTGTGAAAGCCATAGACAAAACATAAATGAATGGCCATGTCTGTTCTAATAAAACTTTATTTACAGAAACACACCGTGGGCTATGGGCCATAGATTGCCAACCCCTGTTTTACTCCTTCAGTTTTATTGTTTGATTTTTATTTGCTTGTCATAGTGAAGTACTGCTTATTTGAGTTGTGGATAAAGAAGCAACTCTCTGGTAAGTATAGTGCAGGAATCCTAACCATTGTTAGGGTTTAATAGTCATTTGATGTCTACTACTTCTATTCCTACCATGACAGGGTGGTGAAGCTTTGGAAGTTGACAAAGCATTGGGTCCTAAGGATAAGTGAAGGAGGGAGAAAGGCGATCTGTGCTTTCTGGGAGGGTCCCAATGCCCACTTCCTGACTAGTATTTCCAAGAGGTCTTACTTGAGAGCAGGACCCTCTTTGCTCTGATCCAAAACCTAGTACTCAGCTCCCCCAGATGGCTGTGCAACCTCAAACCCTATCTTGTCTGAAGTGTCTACCTCTGGCTTTTAACCTATCTTCCTTCCTTTCTTCAGTTTTACTCAGTTACAACAAACTGGCCTCGAGCTGTTTGTTTCTTTTTTAATTAGATTAAACGAGACTAGGTATTTGAATGGCTCCTGCATTTCTGTAGACATTTGGGAATTCTGACAGTCCAGCACTCCTCAGTTCACCTCCATCATTCATGTTCCTCAGCACCTGTGTGCCAAGGCAAGAACAGGGATTCATTATATTAGGGCTATTCTATTTTACAACTTCATACTTAAAAAAATGTAAACCCTTGCGCCTATGAGGCTTAAACAATAATGGTCGTACATTAGGAAAGTCTAGAGTCCATTTGTCCAGTTTATGCTTGGGTTGTCCACTTTGTGGGTGGTTTTTCATTCTAGTGTTACGTCTTTACCTTCCATTTATGTAGGTGTCACTTTTTTTTTTTTTTTGGCCTGAGTAAAGTATTGCCTTCAAAATAACTGCAGCTGGAGAGACACATGGGAGACCATTGTATTATTTCTTAAACCGTGTGGTAGGTCAACTGGTGTTCTGTCATTCTGTGGCGTTTATTTTTCATAGGTCTGATTTTGTCATGCAAAAAATAAATGATCATGCCTTAAATCTAAAGATAACATTTTAAAAGATCATCCATGTCTTTGATAACTAGGTGCTCAAATAAATGTGGCAACAGGTGTTGGCTGCCACAGTGGCCACAGGTTAGGGGTGTCTGTCACTGAAGGAGCGTGGAGCACGGCCCCAGCTAAGAGCCAGCTGGCTGTCCAGCTCCAACAAGTGTACTCCGAGAAGTGTCTCCTCCTCCTCCCCTGTTGGCACTTGGGATATGGGGCACAGATGTTTGGTGGATATTATGCTCAGAGAGCAATGACTGCAGATAAATGACCACTGTTATGAAACTCATGAAAACATCCATAAAGTGTTTGGTCGAAATGGAGTCTAAAATGAGTCTGCATGATTGCTGTGTCTCCTTTGCTCTTGGAGAAGTTAAAATGGTAGCGTAACCCATCTGGTCTGATCAAGACAATCAGAGTGAGGTTATTTCCCTATGAGTCCAGGAAGCCCCTTTGCCCTCTGAGCTGTTACTATGAGTGGTAATTACCTGGTGAGGAGCCTGGATCATTTTAGGAGTCATTGACCCAGAGAGGAAAATCAAACTTTTTTTTTTTTAAGTCCTTAAAAAAAGGGTAAAATGTCCTTTGTATCCTACCATTGGATGTTGAGTGTAATTTTTTTTTTTTCTTTCAGGAGTGAGAGAATCCCATCAGATAAGCATTTTTAAGATAATTGCTTCTATCCTGCACCTTGGAAATGTGGAGATCCAGGCTGAGCGTGATGGTGATTCCTGTAGTATATCAGTAAGTTGCACACCAGAACCCAAGATAAAATGTACACCATTGACTCTGCTCTTACAGTTTTATACAACTGAAATGTGTCTTTACACTCAGGACACTCCGAGGTTATTTATCCTTAACAGTAATGGTTTCTGTTCTTGCTGATAATTTTTTAAAAGAACACATCCTGTTCAGATCAGCTGCCGTCAAATTTTTATCACCGAGATGGGGGGAGGAATTTAGTAGCTATTAAATACATTCTTTTTTTTATGGATTGCTTTTTTCCCGAGTATGCTGAGGTCCATGGAATTCCACAAAGTGTTAGCAATCCATGAGTACTTTCTGAACTCCCGACTGAGGTCCATGCAGCGAGGAGACAAAGGTCTGTTGGACATCATGTTTGGTGACTGTCTCCAAGGAGCTTACAATCTAATTGGGTAGACAAAAGATGACCACACTTGGCAAGATTTTGGCGGCATGATGCAGAATATTGAGAGATCTGTGTGAAAGTATTAGAAACTGTGAATTACTCCAAAAATGCTCCTAGTGACTGTTGTTTTCCTGGTGCCCAATGTAGCACCAGATATATGCTAGATAAGGAAATGTCCAAGTGGGTGGATATTGGAGCGGCTCCCAGTGCTGTCCTGGAGACAGCAGCTGGAGTGTGCTCTCTGGCATTTGGGTCCGTCTAGGCCCAAACCCCCATTCTTCCCTTAATAAGTGAATCTGCAGTTGTTGATTATAGACCTTTCTTGTGCCCCTTAGTGGCTAAGTCTTGGGGAAAGTACAAAATATGACTCTTGTTCCCAAGGACTTAGAAACCTAGATCTTGGGAAAAGATAGAAGACAATACTATAGAATACAAATGTGGGTATGTGTCCATGCCTCTCACACCTGATGCTTTTTCAGTTGAACAAATAATAACTTTCTGCTCTTTGCCTAGAGTTAGGGCCTATGGGCATATCAGAAGCTGAAACTGGCCCTGCCTTTAGAGACAGGAAGCTGGAACTGTAGTTGGCACCTGGCACCCCCTCTCCCACTGTCCCATACATTTTCCCTGAAATGGTGTTGGTGGTGGGAGGTCTCTTGGGACCATCAAGGTTGCCACCATCCTCTGCATGGAATCTGCCCTCTCATGAGAGCTTTGAGGCTCGTGCACCGGGGCCCAGTTTGAAAGGAGGGAATGTTGGAGCTGAGCAGTGTCGGGTGACCATGGATGACATCAGGGTGTGTATGTTGGGTGGGTGGGCAGTGAGGTTGGCGGTGATGGTGCTATGAGAGCACCTGGGCAGTGCAGGGAGGCCCTGTGCCTTGGCAGTGTGGGAAAAGCAGGCCAAGCACTCCCCTAGTCTGAGGCCTTTGGGCCAGTGAAGTATTGCTCCCATGGCTTTTTCTTTGTGAGGAAGGCATAAAGGGTCTGTGCCAGGGCGCCTGGGTGGCTCACTTGGTTAGGCATCCAACTTCAACTCAGGTCAGGATCTCGCGGTTTGTGGGTTCGAGCCCTGCATCAGGCTCTGTGCTGACAGCTTAGAGCCTGGAGCCCGTTTCGAATTCTGTGTCTTCCTGTGTCTCTGCCCCTCCCCTACTTGTGCTCTCTGTCCCTCAAAAAATGAATAAATATTTAAAAAATGTTCTAAATGGTCTGTGCCTCACTCACACACGTACCCCGCTAAATGTCCCTTGGTTCTGTAGGGCAGCCACGTATGTCCTGGTGTCAAGGACAGCTGAGATTAGGAATGTTTGCTTTGAGAAAATCCTCATTTGGGTTGGCGAGGTACAGGAAAAGTGCACGTTTCCAACACCCCCCACCTCCTCTAGTGTCTTCCTCCCCCATCATGGACTCTTACAGCATCTGTACCTGTTCCGCATGGCAACAAGCATGGTTGCAGTTTTGCATTTTCCATGGGCTGGTTTGCCACATATCTCTCCCATGAGAGTCCACAGTCTACAAAGGCAGCTACTGTTTGCTAATTATTATATGTCCAGGGATGCCTGGATGGCTCAGTCAGTTTAGCGTCTGACTTCAGCTCAGGTCATGATCTCACGGTTCGTGGGTTTGAGCCCCGCGTCGGGCTCTGTGCCGACAGCTAGCTCAGAGCCTGGAGTCTGCTTCAGATTCTGTATCTCCCTCTCTCTCTGACCCTCCCCTGCTCATGCTGTCTGTCTGTCTGTCTGTCTCTCTCTCTCTCTCTCTCTCAGGAAAAAAAAATTATATCTCCAGCACCCAGGACGGTGCCCAGCACTTTGTAGGTGCCTAAGGAGTGGATATTTGATCAATGCTGGTCTCCTCTATGAAACTTGAGGGTCATGTCTGATGTGCTCTTTTCTGACCTTGGCACATGTGGGCACCCACTGAGTTTCTGTAAATACTGCAGGAAGGTGGGGATACCGAGGCTCACACCTGAAGAGTGGATGGAGGACACTGTTATGGAGGGGCAGGAGGAGGCCTGACCGGTAGAAGTTAGGACACCAAACGGAGCAGGAGGCCCTATCGGGGCTAATAGGAAGTCAGGTTTTTGAGTACTTGGTCTTTCCTTATCCTCCAATTAGAGGCTGTGTAGAGAACTTGTGAGTGAGGGCTCGAGTCAGGACTGCCAGGGTTAAATCTTTCTGCCACTTACTGATAGTTAACCCTTTGAAGTCTGCTTCTTCATTTGCAGAGCGCAAGTGATAGGATCTCCCTTAGCCCAGGGCTCACATGATTGAGTTCTTGACTGTTACCCTTGTTACTAGAGCCAGCGTGGACCTTCTGGGTAATGCTGTTTCTTCACAGGGTTGGAAAAACTAAGACCCGGAGAGGAGATAATGACAGTGACAAAGCCACGTTGGGCCCCAGCCCTTGTTGTTTTCCCGGTGCCACTGCCAGCCTCGCGTCTTCCAGCTACCCCCGGAGCTGAGGCTGCCCTTGCCAGGTGCCTCTCGCAGTGCTGGGCACACGCTGCATGCTCCGGAAGTGCTCCACTGGTGCAGGGCTCTCAAATGGATTTTGGTTTATTTCTCGGGTATGTGGGGTGGGGCTCCTATTGGAAAGGCTGTCTGTCCATACGAAGTATGCCTTCTGCTCAGTTGTTATTTTTAATTAAAGCATGAAAATGTGTTCCACGATTGCCAGGGTTACCTTGGAGAGGCAACAGCATGCGATTACTTGGACACCAGAGGCAATTTGTTTCTCAAATTTGGCAATATGGGCCCATGAAACTTAATCTACCTATGATGCTGGCTATTTTTAATGGATTTAGCATCATTTAATTAAGCTTAAATGTAATTGCACGATGTTCAATCAGTCTCAGCACCTTTAATCACCAGTCAGGAGGGGTAGTGGAGGGGCAAGCCATATCCCACTGCAGCAGATGGGAACCTGTCCTGAGGTGGTGATCCATCCGTTCCAGAACTGGTGCTTCTGTCTCCACTGTGCTCACCTGGGAGGTGCCGGGGAGGCTGGGGAGCGAGCCAGCAGGCCTTGGGCCGTCTTGTTTGCTGCCAGTAGGCTATCTACTCGATGTCAGGGTATCCAGCTGCAGTGCTATGCCTCACAATTAAGGATTTCTTGGAAGGAGGTCAGATTAAGAGGTTGAACTCTGGCCACCTCTGGACCTGTTGCTTGGCAAGCGGTCCCCAGGCATTTAACACTACCATGTATGGCTTTCTGTCTGGGGAGAAGGCAGGCAGGCACGGGTTGCTGCAGAGAGAAGTGGGGCTGTGGCAGCCCCACCTGCTGAGTGAAGAGACAGGGCCTCCCCATGGCTACCCAGCCCAAGCTGAATCTTTTCACTGGCTGGATCAGGAGCTCTGAGCGGCAGTCAGGGGTGCCTCTGTTCCCTCATTTTCTCCACCTGAACAATAAGGGAGATTCAGTTAGAATGATGGTGCCCAAGGAATTGTCCTCCGAAGCTGAGCCCTAGCAAATTTTTAAGAAAATAAGTGTTCTTGGGTCAATTAAGCTCTGGAGATGCTGTATTAAAATAGGTCTCTTAGTGCTTTCAGCGTTCATTAACAGAAGAGTTCAGCTGTGTCTCTGTGGGTGCCGTCCCCCTGCCCATCTAGTTAGGTAAAGCCAATTAATGTGCTTTGGAACTATGCTCCACAGACCACGTTTTGGAAAAAAAAAAAAAGGTGGCCTTACTGACTTTTGGAGCTTCTCTTCTGCTCTGACATTCTATTTTGTAATTGTGTTGGTTTTGGCTAGATGGATTTTAAATATCTGTAGGAGGAAAAAAAAAGTGGCCTGGGGAAATGGTACAGTTATCTGTGTTAATTTTCATCGAACTCTCAAGCTCTCTTTTAAGTCCTACAAGGTAGCCTCATCAGAAAATGAGTCCCACAAGCAATGTATGGCCATTATAGAAGGTGGCACATCATGTTTTAAAGGATTCCCTTTCAGCCTGAGTTACTAAGCAATCCAGCAGGCTCGTGGCCGAGTTACAGCTTTCCAGGGGAGAGGATTTAGAGGAAGGAGCAAAGAACAGGTTGGTGGGGGGGGGTGCCCGGGGGGGGTGCCCTATGTGAAAAGCAAGGAGTGTCTGACTGATACGAGTGAGTGAAATAAGACCAGACCTGTGACTGATGTGTTTATCAGAGACATGAAGGCCAGGTGCCGTGATTGGGACTTTGGGTAAATGGGGGTCGAGGTCAGAGACAGCTGGGTTCACTGGGCAGAAGGTGCTCTGAGTAAGTCTCTGGAACTGAGCTGCTTCGCTGTATAGAGAAGGGACTTCATCTGTAGGAATTGCTAGTTTTCCCTCCAGCTCTGAAAGGGTGGTGTTACCAGTTAATAGTGTTCCAAGTGACTTTCTCAGGTCAGAATTCTGTATTCTAACCACTTGTCCTAGCTTTCCACCTTGATTGGCTTATTTTCTCCTCAGGCAGCAAGTGCTTTAAGAGTATAACACCAAGTGGGGCACCTGGGTGGCTCAGCTAGTTAAACATCCAACTTTGGCTCAGGCCATGATCTCACAGTCTGTGGTTTGAACCCTGCATCGGGCTCTGCTGACAGCTCAGAGCCTTGAGCCTGCTTCAGATTCTGTGTCGTCTCCTCTCTCTGCCTCTCCCCCATTCGTGCTCTCCCTCCCTCCCTTTCTCAAAAATTAACAGTAGAAAAAAGTATAACACCAAGTATGTATTGCTTGATAACACTGAAGCTAAGGCAGCTGTTACACCAGGTGCTGGGTTAAGGGTAGGGCTAACACGTGAGGCCTTTCTAGGCTGTGGGGTCAGCCCTACGTGTGGACTCTGCAGATGGAAACTGTGAATAATTACTACTGTCTTTCGGCTCCTCATTGGATTATCTGTCCCTAAGTCATCAATTCTCATTCTGCTGCCTTTGCTCTGGGATTCTCTCCTGCCTGTCGCTAGGTAGCTGGCTGGTCATGGAGGGGAGGGAATAGGAAAAGTTGAGAAAGCTTTTGTTTTTAAAGCCCTGATGATTTGGTATAATGATCAGTTTGAGCAACATTCTCGGGGCTCCGCTTGTCCCTCCACTCAGCCGTGTGAGAGCGTGTGAGCCTGCTGGGGCTGCGGCTAGGAAAAACATGCTTCCACCGTGCCGGGTGGGCTCCTTCTGTCCTAGGGGAGAGGGCACGTTGGCGGGCTGGCCCTCCACTCCCCTCCTGAAACCATCTCCCATGTCTCTTCCAGCCTCAGGACGAACACTTGAATAGCTTCTGCCGACTGCTAGGGGTGGAGCACAGTCAGATGGAGCACTGGTTATGCCATCGAAAGCTGGTCACCACCTCAGAGACCTACGTCAAGACTATGTCCCTGCAGCAGGTGGTCAATGCCCGCAACGCCCTAGCCAAGCACATCTATGCCCAGCTGTTCGGCTGGATTGTGGAGCACATCAACAAGGCCCTGCACACACCTCTCAAGCAACACTCCTTCATCGGCGTCCTGGACATCTACGGGTAGGCCTGCTTGCGTCCTCCTGCACACCACCTGATGGCTGCGTCTTCCTGCCAGCATTTCAGAGTTGGCAGGGGGTTTGGAGGGCTCCCCAAACTCCCGGGATTCTCATCCCGGGGGAGTGTGAAATGTAGGATAGCACTTTTTTTTTTTTTTTTTTGCTTGTCTCTGTGACTGGGATCTCTACTGGCACCTAGCGGAGGGGATGCTAGGTGTGCTGGAGGATGGTTCTAAGGAAGAATGGACCCTGTGAAAACCCCAGTAGCTTTCCCAGTGAGAAACCCTGTAGGCTTCCTCCTTCACAACTGGGAAACCAGCCCAGAGAGGGAAGTATCTCACCCACCATTGGACTGGAAGCTACTATGAACTTAATTTCAGGCTCTGACTTGGAGATGTTTTATTCAAATCTACCATTTGAGCTCCTTCACTCTATGACCAGTCTAGATACTTATTGCATTACCATGTGATTTTGCCCAGCACTGTAAGACTGATGTGTGGGCATTCTTGTGGCTGCTCTTCCTTTCAGACTTCTAGCCTAATGGCAAGAAATGTTGTTTGTAACTGTATTTTGCAGGGAAAGGCAGTTTGGCACAGTGGAAAGTCTACTTGACTGGGCCTCAGGACACGGGTATGATAATCTATGACTGTCACCAGCTTGCTGGATGGTTCTCTACACATCACAGCTCCTTTCTGGTCTTTTGTTTCCATAGCTTAAAATGAAGCATGGAGACACAGTCTCTGAGGTTCCTTCCAGACGCTTCTAGAGGTGCTTGAAATTATATGTATTGGTTTGCAGCCTTCCTTAGCCATCTTTTATGACCAATGCCTTGCCCTCTTTAAGCTAATAATAGATTGAACCCTCCTGGGTCTGTGTATCTCAGAAGTCATGTCTTCTGTCTTAAAATAGAAATTCGTACCCATGGAGGTGCAGAGTTGTAAGACTAGGAATACTCTAGTGGAAACAACTGCTGGGTGGGCTGATGAACTAGGACTTGCCTTATGGTGAGGCTGTTATAAAGGAGAATCTCCTGGAAGTGGCCACTTGCCCATGCAAAGACAGGCTGTCCTACTTATGTCTCTACTGATCTTGCTCATCGTTGGGTTTCTAATCAAACCATGATGCATGGTGTGGAGGAAACGGAAGAAGGAAACTTGATTTTTTGGCATCACGAAAGCCGCCTGCTGATGAGTGAAGTCACATGCCTGAGCTGTGTAATACAAGAGGCAACAGAAGAAATCGTAGCAGAGTCCATGTGAGAGGGGGAGGGGTTGGACACTTGGTGCTGGGTGAGTTTCAAGGCAGGAGTGGGCACACTTATTGGCACCATCAGGGAAAGCTTAATGTGAAAGGTGAAGTCTGAACTGGGTCTTTTAAAGGGAGGGAGTAAAATAGGGGCGGTGGGGAGACACCTTTAGAAACCTGAGCACAGGGACAAACAAGCACAGTGTGGAAGGGAAACCTTCTAGCTGAGGAGCAAACAGTGGAGCATCACCCAAGGGTGGGAAGGAGGAGGATGAATCTGCTCCAGGGCGCTTTGGGGTTTTAGCTGAACAGCCAGGTGCAGGCCACCCCTCTTCCTGGCTGGCTGAGCGCCTGCTTTGCACTCCAGCCACTATAGTTGCTCTGTGGAGAGCACAGAACAGTCTCTGTGCCCTGGGAGAGTAGCTCCTAGTGGTCCGTAACTGTTCTCTCTCGTGAGCATTTTCAGGTAATTGGGTTTCCCTCAGAAAAACTGACCTTTAGTGTTCCCTTCTGAAGTAAGACCCAGAGAAACTCAGACTGCATCGTTTTGACCGGATTCCCTTAATAAACCTGGGCGAGAATCTAATTTTACGGAGTTTTTGATCTGGGAAGACGAACATGTAGACACACTGTTGTGAATTGCAAGTAAGACTACTATGACTTGAGGGGCGCCTGGGTGGCTCAGCTGGTTAAGTATCTGACTCTTGTTTTCAGCTCAGATCACCATCTCATAGTTCATGAGTTCAAGCCCTGCGTTGGGCTCTATGCTGAACCTGCTTGGGGTTCTCTGTCTCTCTCTGCCCCTCACCCCCTCTCAAAAATCAATAAATTTTAAATCTCCCCCCCCTTTTTTTTTTTAAGTACTGTGACTTTGGTGCTACTGACACTGAGCTCTGTTTTGGCTATCTACTATCTTAGCAGTGCTGCCTTACATAGATGGTCATCCCTTCCCTGGGATCCGCCGTGAAAGGCTTTGCTCACTGGTGGGGTGTCACGCTGCTGGGTCCAGAGATGCTGGCTGGGCTCATTCGAGCTGGCATTTTGTGCTTATATTTGCTGTTTACTTTTTATAATTGACTCTGTTCTAAGGTCCTGTCCCTGCCCAGAGGGAAGAAATCGATTTCAGGGAAGTCTTGTCTGTGATTGGAGAGGGAGATTGAACCGTTGTGGGGTGGAATCCTGGGATCCCCATCACCACCTCTTGGGGTGACCATGAGTTCTTCTGGGAACATCTGATAGCTTTCCTCCAGCAAGAGAGCAGGGTCCCCTTCAGACATGCTAATCTGCTTTCTTTTCTCTTTTTTTAAATCTTTCATCTTTCTCAGGAGCTAATTTCCTTTTTCAGACTGTGCCACAAAGTGGACCTATTCACAAACACTTGATTCTCCTCTTGCAGAGGCAGAATGCCATGTTCCTCTATACGCTCAATGTGGTACCACATTCATGCCGTATTTAGGTAGAGTTCAAGATGGCAAGTGAGAACCTACGGGGTAGGTTCAGAGTTAACAAGCTGACTGTCTCTCTGGGCCATTTGTTGCCAAGAAAGCACTTAGAGACGTTCCCTGAATGTAAATCAGCGTGCTCCTCAGCAGTCATCTGCCGAGAAATTACTGTCAAAGTTTACACTGGCCCAGGCTCTTTTCTGGCCATTGGGTGTGTAATGAACTCCTGGGAGGTCAAAACCAAAAACCACCTCGGGAAAGCAGGTCACTTGGACCTTGGAGGTCCTGTTTCTGATCCATCAGGTCAGTGACATCATTTCTTCATCCGGGAAACAAAATGACAATGCTTGGTAGAAGTCCGGGCTGACCTTGTGTTGAGCGGTTGGTAGAAGTCCGGGCTGACCTTGCGTTGAGCTGCTCACTGTCCTCTCCCTTTTGCAATCCTGGTGTGTTTCTGGCTCATTGCATTTGGAACTTCAGACACCTTCCAGGAAGCCACTGGGTCTTGGGGGGTGGGGGGGCATGTCTGTTATCTGGAAGAAGGTGTCACACTGGACATTGCACTGCTTGTTGCCTTCTCCAGCCAACCCCCCCTCCCATTCCATCTCTGAAATCATGGTCTTGTTTCTCAGCCGTGGGACGAGGAGACTTGGTGTGCATAGAAGATGCCCTGGGGGTGACCTGAAGTCTTTGATTGTCTTATTTCTTGTCTTCTGTGGACAAGAAGGGTGGCATGTGGGAGTTAGAACAGGAAGGATGATGGGGTTGTGCTTCTGAATACATTAAACCCCACTCAGTAAGAAGAAAGGAATCAGGAATTATCTCTTCCTTAATCAGGTTACAAATGCGCAAAGCTGGCCAGTGAGAGTGGAATTGCTTCTGTCTCCCCAGCTAGTAGACACTAATTAGTAATTAGTGGGATAACTGTCCCCAGATGGACTGTAGCCCTTATTTAAGGTTATTGACTCCCCAGTCAAACTCATTCTGGAAACACCTGAAAAGAGTTCTGTAGTGTGGGTTAGCCACTCCAGAATTTTCTGTAAATGTTTAAAATGTTCCCATAGAATTAGCAGCCAGAGTGAACACTCCTTTCTTTGTGTATAAGAAAACAGTGGGCTTAGCCATCGTCACCAGGGTGTCTCCCCTCATTGTGGTGTCCCAACTGGTAGTTCAGACTATAAGAAAGGCCGTGAGCCCCAACATAAATGGCATGAGCCTCTGTGGCTCCCACCACAGCTATCGTGAGGCCATCATCAGAGGTTAGTCGCTTAGGCTGTCCTGAACATTGCCCGACACGCAGTGTCCTGGCAGAGGAATGGCCTCCCTACGACCTGCTCCCCCACCTCTGTTCGAGAAAGTGCAGACCAGGCAGTTGAGCCACCCTGAGACCAGCTCTTGTCCTTAACTAAGGATCCGTGAAGCTGCCCGGGGGGTGTTTCTTCCCAGGCAGGGGATGGAAATGAATAGGACTACGCCAGGCAACTTTTGGCCGGGGGGTTTCCTTTTCGTGTTACATTAACTAGCGTCTGCCTCTACATGCTTGAATAATTGTAATCCTTCATTCCTCTCCCCTGCTCGAGGCAAAAAGAAATAGATGGCTTCAGTTTGGGGAAAAGGCACTTATTTGTCTTGGACTTGAGCCTTTGAAATGCCGGGGTGGAAGGGGCCTTGGCTGCAGCCAGCTCATTTTGATGAGAGGACAGTTGGCCGAGGGGACTCTGGGAGCAAGGCAGGGGGTATAGGTGAATGCTTAATGCGAGGAGCAGGGGTGGAGAGGATGCGGGGGGGGGGGGGGTGCAGCAAGCAGGAAACAGGAAATGAGGTTTGCTGGGATTTTCTATCCTTCTCATTCCTCACATCACTTTCTGTGTTTCTCGTGGCGTTTCCTAACCTCAACTTAGCATCCAACTCTAGTTAGTCCTTTTTAATGATACATTTTAAAGATAACTTTGTTAAATTACAGCTAGAAAAGTATCTGACATAAAACTTATCGTCTATATATACAATTCAGCGGTGTTCATGAAGTATATTCACATAGTTACGCAACAGAACTCGGAGCTCCTTCCTGTTGGAAAACTGAAACTCTGTACCCATTAACAGCTCCCACTTCTGTCCCACGGCCCCTGGCAAGCAGCGCCCCGTGTTGTTTCTGTGAACATGATGACTTTTAGATACTTCTGTAAGTGGAATCTTAGAATGTTTGTCTTTTTGCGACCGGCTCCGGTTACTTAGTGTAATGTCCTCGAGGCTCATCCATGCTGCAGCCTGTGACAGAATTTCCTTTTCTGAAGCTGAATAATGTTCCGTTGTGTTTACCCGTTTTGTTTACCCAGGTTTCTGCTGATGGACATTTGGGTTTCATTTACATCTGGGCTATTAAGAACACTGCTGCAGCAAACAAGGGTGTGCAAATATCTTTTCATTCTTCTGGACATATACCCAGAAATGGGATGGCTGGATCACATAATTCGCCTTTTAATTTTTTGAGGAGCCTTTGGCTGGTTTTCCATAGTGGCTGTACCATTTTGCATCGCTATTGATAGAGCACATGGGTTCCAATTTCTCCATATCCTTGACAACACATGTTATTTTGTTTTCGCTCAGCTCTCCTAATAGGCATGAGGTAATCTCTCTCGGTAGTTTGGTTTGCATTTCTATAGTGATTGGTGACATTGATCATTTTTCATAGGCTTCTTGGCCACTCATATATCTTCTTTGGAAAAATGTTCAAGTCCTTTGTGCATTTTTTGAGTTACTTGTTCAGTTGTAAAAGTTCTTGGTATAGTCTGCGTATTCACTCCTTATCAGAAATTTGCTTTGCAAATATTTCCTATTAGTAGGTTGCCCTTAATGATATATTTTAAGTAATTGACTTAATTTTATAATTCCAGTTTAGTTATTCAGAGAAGACTACTCAACTCTTCTCTGACCTGTATGAAAAAGTTTCACATAGAATGTAGAGGGGGGAAGTCAGTGGCATTTTCCTTCAGCCTGTGAACAGTGGACCAGACTTGGGCAGCCCAGAGATCCCTGGCCACGTCCTCTTCAGGGTAAACCTGCTGGCTGGCCCCAGTGTTCTCAGATCTAGCAGATCCCTGAAGCCATTGGGTTTGCCCTGGAATCTTGGAGTCTTCCAGGAGAGCCTTATAACTGATTGCTCTAAGGTCGATCTCAACCTCGCAGAATTTCTCTGACCTAGCTCTTTGGTGTTTTCATGGAGCCAGACACCCATACATACTCTTAGGGCTCAGATAAAGTGACAGTTTTCTCTGTCCATGCCATCACCCTTGTGAGCTCACCCTCCATTCAAGTCATATAGCACATGAAATCTCTGTTCATTGGGAGGCTTCATGCACTGGGTTCCTGTGCTCTTCCAGATAGCTCTTTTGGGTAGGGGCCACAGCTTGCCCCTGCTTGCAGCCCTTGCAGTTGACTGATGGCCTGGGAGAGGATTTCCATTTGGTGGGCATTTCTGTCCCACACCGGGGTTCCTGGCACAGAGGAGGAGGCAGGGATTGGAGCACACTGCCAACTAAACAGACGTAGGTCCTCCAAAAGAGTAACTGTTCTTGGCCTTGGGATGTGAACAGTGCCTAGGACTGTGCTTTCTCTGAAGGTCAAGTCCTGAGTAGGGGCATCTAGGCACAGTGAAGCACATGGGCAGAGTTCAAGCCCTGCTGTTATCACGTGCAGGCAGCATTCCAAGATTTAGTAAAGAGATGAGAAGGATTGGCCTCGCTAATAGACCACAGGGGCCTTTGGGAGGTTTCATGGACTTCAGGAGGGAAAGAGACCTTGACAGGACTTGTCTGACTTTTAACAATCATTCTCTGGAAGCCTCCATATCCAACCTATAACTCCTATCTTAACGTTGGGCCTTAGCTACAAGGATAGTGTGTGGTCTTGGTGAAAGAAAGACTGAGTTAAGGAGTTTAGTTGTTTGAGCCATTCTCCAGGGGAAGAACTGTTTCCCAGCCTTCAAAGCTTTACGTTACTTCTGCCCTGGAGTGAGAGGTTTGTGAAGGTTGATAATTAACTCAGAGGGACTGGTTGATGTCTTTTTATTATAGTTTCACTTTCAGACAGACACTACCTTGTTTTGAGAGACGTTTGTGGCCCTTCCCACACCCTGAACTTGGAGCAGAATGAGAAGGAAATTCTTTCCTCTTCCACAATTTGGGGATTGGAGGAAAGTGAAGTAGGAGGCAGGGGTTGTACCACCACGAATACAGATCTTGGGTCTCTGCATCAAGTCGTCTTCTGTGTTTTGACCTTCCTCCCACCCAAGGATTCTAGTCTAAATATTCTCAACATTGATTTCATGGGAGAAATCCAATTCACTCTAGTATATAAATTTCTTTGTGACAGTTTAATATTGTGAGCTATAAATTGATCCATTGTGTTCATTTTAAAAAATCATCTCTGTTGATGGGAAGAATTACACCAAGATAATTCTATTGCAGAGAAGCTGCCCTGTCTCCCTGACTGTGGCTTTCAGAGGTCAGTTATCTTAAATATTTTCCAGTCTACCTATATCCCTCATTCATCTCTGGCCCTTCGGCAGGCATTACAGTAATTACACTAGACGGCAGAGGAATTGTTACTAGATAATACCTTAGAAATTGGGAAGTTAGGAGCTAATTTTAGGCCCTTTCAAATTAATGAGAATGTTCCTGGTGGAGTGCTACCAACATAAACCTTTAAAAAAAAATGACAAGTGGGAGATATTGAAATCTTTATCGGTGGGGCTCAGTACAAGCCCTCCAAGTACACCCAATTGCTATTACCTGGCCATTTTCCAGGGTGGCTCTTTGATCTTCCTTCTAGGTTTTATTAAGTTTCCTTGGGGCGGGGCAGGGTTGGGGGGAGGAGGGTTGCCAGTGTCAGCAACCCGTCTTAGAGCGCAGTGGGGCCTGGGGGGAGGAAATGAGGCTCCAAGTGACAGAACTCCAGGTAGAGGACCATCATGTGGACCGAGAGGGCTGCCATGCAGCCTGACAGCTGGCAGACCCCGTGCCCCTCTCCTGTGTGGTCTGGAGTACAGCTCCCTCCTGGGCTCAGCATCTCTGATCTTGTTTTATTAACTTACAGTTATTTCTCCTCTGTGGGCATGACCCAAGGCTGCTTTATAATGTGATTGTCTCCACACAGTTGATTCCTTTGATTGCAAAATGACTCTTTGGGGCCACCTCGGTGGTTACATGTGTTGACTGACTGACTCCCAATTTCAGCTCTGTTCACAATCTCATAGTTCATCAGTTCGAGCCCCACGTCTGGCTTTGTGCTGGCAGCACAGAGCCTGCTTGGGATTCTCTCTCTCTCTCTCTCTCTCTCTCTCTGCTGCTGCTGCTGCTGCTGCTCCCCTGTGCTTATGCATGCGTCCCTCCCTCCCTCTCTCTCAAAAAAAAAAAAATTAAAAAAAAAAAAAAAGACTTTTTACTTCACCATGTCTTACACTTTGGTGTGGGGGAGGTGGGTGCAAGAAGTAGGAGAAGTCTGGACACTGACATGGCCCTGTTTGGTGTGGGACATGTGTATTCTGTGGTGGGTGCCACATCTCTAATACCGCCAGCCACTGCAGCCAGCAGAAACAGCTCTGGCATTTCTGTTTGGGAGTAGTCAGTCTATTTGGGAGGACTGGCATAATTTTAAGATTGAGAAAATTTAGTTGTCCATACTGAAGACTGAGGGAGTACAGATTTATGGGGGAGGCTGAAACCTGTGTCCTCCCCCACCCAGGGTCCCTCATTGATATTCCCACATCCACTGTCCTTCCCTGACCTCCTCTTCCTTCCCCCCGCCGTGTTTATTTTTTTTGAGCGAGCATGAGCTTGGGGGGTGGGGGGGAGACAGAGGATTCAAGCAGCAGCTCCACGCTGACAGCAGTGAGCCCAACGCAGCACTTGAACTCTCTAAACTGCAAGATCATGACCTGAGCCGAAGTCGGATGTTCAACCAACTAAGCCACCCAGGCGCCTCACTTCTTCCTTTTCTTATTGAAGCTTTTCTCTAAATTAAGAATGTGGCCTCAGAAATCACTCCCTGCGTTCAAATACTGTTTCTTCTGCCTACTGGCCATGATTTGGAGTACATTATTTAATCTTTCCAAGCTTATAGAATGGAGTAGTAAACACTGGCTCTCGGCAGTTGAGGGCACTGGGTGAACGAGAACTCATGAAGCTGTTGGGGCCAAGCGCTCAGTAGGTGCTCATGCAGCCAGTAGCGTGAATGAGGAAAAGGCCCCTCTACCTCCTATGTTTCTGCTGCTCCGCTGCCTCGGCCCCATGACCTTGCACAGCATACGAGATGGCCCTGCTAGTTGGTAGCCGGAGCTGCTGATTCTGTTCCGACCCATCTGGCTTGGTGAGTTTTACTGCATCCGTTCAGTTGGCAGGTGACTTGCACCTATGTGCCCCATTGGTCACTTACAGCCTCCTCATGTTTACCTCCCTTAGTGTCATTCTATCCTTCTCATTACTTGGTCACCACCAGATTATATCCTGCCCAGATGGGATCTTGCCCAGATCATTACTCCAGCAATAATTGCCTTACTTGACTGCCTGCCTTCAGTCTTGCCTACCTTCCCCCAAATCAGTTTTTCTCCACCCGCCTGCCAGTTCAATGAGTTCCACATCTGATTGTCATTTCTTCATTGTTTGGAAACTCGAACTCGGTGAAAATGATGTAGAAAAACAAAGCATCCTTAATCAGCATTAGGACAAGACACTTTCATGCATTGGGAGGCTAGGGTGGATGTGAGGTGATAACAAAATTGATTCCACCTTTCTGGAAATCAATTTTCTTCTACCTTTCAAGAAGCTATATTCTGACATGGTGATTGTCCTAGGATGATGGCGTCCTACAGAAAGAATCATGAATTCAGAGGTGTATATATGATATTTGTCACAGCATTGATGGCAGCTAAAAATCTGAAAAAGAGCCTAAATGTCCTATAATAGGAGATTGGTTAATTCATGATTGACTTGTGTGGGATGGGGGGAACCAGCCTCTGAGGCTTTTGTGTGAATTGGAACAGGGCAACCCTCTGGGTGGAGTGCCCCACTCCTAGGCTTGAGGGACTTCTGTGCTGGAGTTAAGGGTGGGACTGGATTGAGAGGGTGGGGGGAGAAGAGATGAGGCGGCCTTGTTGGAAGTTCCAGTGATTCCTTCTGTAAGAGGAATGTCTCTCTGTCCTCTCTTTTCATTCGGCAGATTTGAGACATTTGAGGTCAACAGCTTTGAGCAGTTCTGTATCAACTATGCGAATGAGAAGCTACAGCAACAGTTCAACTCGGTAGGCTCAGCTCCTGACCCAGGCTGTTGGGGTGGGGACGCCTGTCTCCCTGGGAGCAATGGCCTGGGGCACTTCTCGTCTACCCCAGGTCAACTGGCTTTAGCTCTGCCCCAACCTTCTCTTAGTTTCTTGGCGGTGCCTTGCCTTTGGGAAGGTACTCCCTGTTGCTCCATAGGCGGTCTGAATGGGGAGGCGGGGTTGAGAGGATGAATGATCCTTCCCTTGGGCTTGCCTCCCACACCCCAGGACCCTGGTCTTCTGGGTTATTTGCCTAACTGCAAGCCCATTGATTACTGGAATATTCTAGAGAGGGGTTCCCATTGGAACGGGGATCACCTAACTTAGCTTTCCTTTTCTGCAGCCATGTCTGTGACTTCATGCCCAAACCTTTTCTGATAGGTATACACCCTTTGCTGGGACTCCAAACTCACGTGGCTGAACTTCAGGAGAAATGAACATCAGGATGTGCCTGCAGTTCACTAACTTTGACCTTTTCACTTCTTACCTAGCACGTATTCAAACTGGAGCAAGAGGAATATATGAAGGAGCAGATCCCTTGGACTTTGATTGATTTTTACGATAATCAACCCTGTATTGACCTCATAGAAGCTAAGCTGGGCATCTTGGACCTGTTGGATGAAGAGTGTAAGGTAAAACTGATTACGTACTCATTGTATTCAGTTCCAGGAACAGGGGATGGCTGTGTGATACAGGGAGCATGTGAGGCCTGAAAGCTGGAATTCCTTGTGTAATTAGCCCACCTTTAGTGTGCTGAGAGAAACCTTGGTGTCTGTTCTGCATGCTAGGAGGTAACTGTGTTGGTGAATGTGTACCTCTCTTAGCAGAGACTGGGTGGTATGGAGTGGCATGATATAATGGTGGTCTGGATTTGGTGCCACACATATCCCAGGTGCCAAGAGAAAGACCCCGACATCTAGGCAGGCATCCCCAGAGAGAGACAGCGAGGGTCGAGAGCCCACCACACCACACAATGCCTGGGGGCAGATGAGGACTGTAGCATCCCCTTGATCTAGCTTTTGTGGATTCTACTGTACGAGACAGGAGTGTCCTGAGTTGCCAGCATAGGGAGGACCAGGCCACCTGGGAAATGTGGAGCAGGGGGCAGCTGGCTTTTATGAATCACCCAACTTGTTTGACCTTTGTTTTCCTGCTCTATGATTTAGTAGGGTTGGAACTGATCTTCAGAATTTTGCCTGGTTGAAGGTTGCTGACAAAAGGGTAAACATCTACCCAACCCATCCCTCCAAGAGTGGAAACCGACCAACAAAGTGTAGAAACCACACCATTCTTGGTATTGCAAGGGAAGAACTCAGTTGATTTTACTTTCCAGTCTCCCATGTCTTGCCTGTAAAGGATTGAGTGCGGCTTGATGGTTTGGAGGATAAGGGATTTCCCTTCCAGAAAGGCGCTCCTAGGTTCATTGCCTTGGATGATGAAACAGAATGGTTAATAGAACAGAAGACCGAGTGAAATGCGCTGAAACCCACAGTTTGTGCATCTTTATTATTTTTTATTTTTAATGTTTGAGAGTGAGTGAGCAGGGGAGGGACAGGGAGAGAGGGAGACACAGAATCCGAAGCAGGCTCCAGGCTCTGAGCTGGCAGCACAGAGCCCTGCATGGCACTCAAACTCACAGACTGTGAGATCCTGACCGGAGCTGAAGTTGAATGCCCAACCGACTGAGCCACCCAGGCGCCCCTTTATTTTTTTTAAAAAAGATTCTTTTACTTTTTTTTTTTTTTTTTTTTTTAAATTTTAGAGAGCATGCATGAGCAGGTGGGAGAGAGAAAATCTTAAGCAGGCTCTGAGTTCAGTGCCAAGCCCAGTGCACTTCCTGGGTTTGGTGTCCATTGCCAGCAGCTCCCTTTGACACGCTGTGGGACGGGGCTCCCCTCCACCCCCGATCCACCCCCACCCCAAGGCAGCACCATGTCCAAATGTCCACCCTACCTGGCTCCAGACTCCAGCCCTTCGCTTCGTTTCCCGGTGGTGAAGGGTAAGGCCATGCGAGGCCCTGAGGAGCGCCGCAAAGCAGGCAGCTTACCTCGCGCGGCTCTACCTGGTTCTGTGATGAGATGCTAATGAGAACGTGCATTCCCCGGCGCATGGCCTCTCCCTCCGTGTGTATACACACCTCTCAGCAAAATGCCTGATGCTTCAGGATGATGGATTCTGTGAATCAAGCAGCTGCCTAATTGATTTTCAAGGATGTATTCTGACTTTAGCAGGCAAAACAAGGGCCCCTTGTGGGTTTGTTTTGGCTTATGGTTTGGAGATCTGAGAGCTGCCACTGCCCAAGGGAACACGTCCCAGGAATGTCCAGTGAGAGTGGCAGGAACAGCAGTACAGGGACCTCAGACCCCAGGGGCTGGGGGGCTGGGGAGCAGGTGGTTACCAGGGTGGTCACAGGGCGACCCAAGCTGCAAACCGCATTCAGCAGTTGGGAAGGTGACCTCCCCGAGTCCCTGTGCCTCGTGGATTTGGTTACTCTTGGTGCCATCTTCCTACTGAGTGCAGAGTACCTGGAGTAGTATCCCTGTTTGACCTCTGAGAAGCTAATGGAAAATCTCACTCTGTGTGGATGATCTCTATCTTAATGTTCTGCAGAGCCTCTCCAGGTCAGATTTAATTTTTTTAAAAATGTTTTCTATATTTTTGAGAGAGAGAGAGAGAGCATGTGCAGGGAAGGTTCAGAGAGGGAAACACAGAATCCGAAACCGGCTCCAGGCTCTGAGCTGTCCTCAGAGAGCCCAACGCAGGGCTCGAATCCACAAACTGTGAGATCATGACCTGAACCGAAGTCAGACGCTTAACCGACTGAGCCCCCCAGGCGCCTCTCCAGGTCAGATTTATAAAATCAGGTGATTTCAGCTTCAGACTGCCCCTGCCTCGGGTTCCTGCCCCTACGGTCTGTCGGATGCCAGGAACGTGTTATGCACCTGCCATATGTCAGCTCTCAGGAGAGGAGGAAGGGTTCTCCCTGCGGGCCAGCAAGGACGAGAAGGGACAGGCTCGTGTTCCGAGGGGCCAGGGCCTGAGTGTGTGGGGGTGGGGCCCGGGCAAGGGGCCTTCCAGAGCAGGCTGGAGGAGGCCTGGACCACAGCCCAAGGGCAGCAGAGGGACGGCTAAACAGAATCAAGGGAAGGGGGTGTCGATCCAGAAAGCACATCGTTCATTCTCTTAGGTCCTGTAGCTTCCCTGACACTGAGGCTTCGTGGAGGGGCGGGTCTGAGGGAAAGCTGGATTTCCTGCCAGTCAAGCTGGTGTTGAGAGAGGGCGTCGCTGCCAGTGGGACACGTGGGAACCTCACCAGCAGCTGGGGGCGTGGGTGGAGCAGGGCAGGCAAGGTGAACGCCAGACTAAGGAGTCCTGCCAAAGCCCCAGTGCAGAGACCTTTCCCTCCCTGGTTTAATTGCTCTGGGAGTTGAGAGTGAGCCAGGGCGATCTGATGCAGCTGCTGGTGGCAGGCAGCTTTTGCACCCACAGGTGTTACCTCCATCAGGACTCCCACACCCGGACCCTTAAAAAGGGCGTGTTTGCCTGTAGGGAAATCATACTGCAGTAAACTAACCTTACAAAATCGGCCTGCTGGGTCGCTGGCTCTGAGCCTGGGCTGGGTAGGATGTCTCCTGGAGCTGGCCCAGATCAGGCAGCTTGGTGTCCCTCCAGACTGTCCTGTGGGACTGTCTCAGACACGCTGCTTCCCTCCGCTGTTGCTCAGACACACTGTGCAAGATGAGAAAGAGTAATGAGATTGCACAGTGAAGAATTGGGTTCTGTGACCCCCATGTGACAGGACACAAAGCCAAACGAAGGGTTGATATAAAAGCAGCCACTGGGAAAATCACTTTTCCCAGAGAAGACACACCGCGTCAGTCACAGCCAGCAACCTGGGATCTAAATTAGAAATACGGAGATGGGGTGGGGAGGGGAGGGGGTCGGCGGGCACCTGGATGGCCCAGTAGGTTAAGTGACTTTGGCTCAGGTCATGATTTTGTGATTCATGAGTTTGAGGCCCTCATGGGGCTTTGTGGTGACAGTGCAGAATCTTCTCGGGGTTCTCTCTTTCCCTCTCTCCCCCCTCCCCTGCTCTCTCCCTCAAAAATACACATTTAGAAAAAGTATAAGTGAGGGGCGCCTGGGTGGCTCAGTCGGTTGAGCGTCCAACTTCGGCTCAGGTCATGATCTTGCAGTCTGTGAGTTCGAGCCCTGCCTTGGGCTCTGCTGACAGCTCAGAGCCTGGAAGCTGCTTCAGGTTCTGTCTCCCTCTCTCTCTGTGCCCCTACCCTGCTCATGCACGCTCGCTCTCTTGCTTGCTCTTGCTGTCTCTCAGAAATAAATGTTAAAAATTTTTAAAAAATGGAGATGGGGGGCTGCAGATCTCAAGGAGCAGCACACGGGGAGCTCACTCTCCCCAGAGCCTGTGAGGGGCGCCCATGGCTGCACAGGGTGCTCAGGAAGGCTTCCTTTGGGTGCAAAAGGCTTTCTGCGGCCGTGGATTTACAGTCAGCCCCAGACCCAGCCACAAACTACAGCTGCCCCTCAGTAACCAAGTGGTCAGGAGAATGGGGTGTTTGCCAGCAGGAAAGGCTTATTTCCAGGCTGCTTTTAACAAAACCCTCCCATCCCCAGTGCTCTCTGAGACTGCTGTGGGGCTTGTGGGCTGCGCGACATAAGCCACCTTCAGACTGGGCATTCCCTGCCCTCCGTGTGTCCCAGCCATCTGTCCCATGCCACTCGGAGGAAGCACTTAGGGCTGAGGGGAGAGGAGAGGTCAGTGCGTGTTTTCTCCTATGTGATACTTGGCATCAGTGGGAACTCTCTGAAAATGGTAACTCCTGGAAGCAGTTCCTGTGCGTGAGCTACAGATGCTCTGGAAAGTCAGTGCCAGGGACCCACAAGGCAGTGCTGGGGCAGGAGGCAGGCTCTGCCCCGAGTGGGTAGGATTCTTTTCTTTCCGGGACCCAGCCTGGGAAGAGCTGCCCGAGGGCGGATGGCAAACCTTCCAGTAACTCGCCGTTGAGGCAGCGAAGGGAAAGAATGCTGAAGGCCTCTGCTTCCTCACCTGGGTGCAGCCTGCTCTCATGACAGCTTGCTTAGTGTTAGGGTCAAGGGTTCATAGTTGCTTAAGTTGCCCTAGAGATCTCCTTGTCCCACACGTTTGTGAACAGGCTGAAACCTTGAGAAGGGAGCCCTTCCCATGCATGTCCGTTCATCTGCCCAGCAAACCCCACGTTCCTCTGTAACCAGCGGACTCCCTGCCCTTGACATACGTGTGTGGGCTCAGGCAGGCACCACAGTCCTCACTGAGGACAAGGCGACAGGGGGAAGTATTATAAAAAGCACCCCTCAGAGGGCTGTTGAAGCAGAGGAGTTGGATTGCCGGGGCGGGGGGACTCTGCTAGGCAAAGGCAATGGCCCATTGGTAGTACTTGAAATGGTGTGACTTCTCCAGACCCCATGGTGGTGGCAGGTGAAGTTGGAAAGCAAGAGCCGTCAGAACAGGAGACTGTCTGGAGGAGGCATTGGGACTGGACTCTGGAGGCTCTGGGGACGCAGGGCTGTGAGGCAGGGAGAGGCGTGGTCAGATGGGAATAATTCCTGGGGGGAATGTCACCAGCACTGTGTGGAAGCCAAGCTGGAGAGAGAGAGAATGAGGCGGGCAGGGAGGCATCCTCCTGTGGTCCAGGCAGGGAAGACAAAGGCTTGCAGGGAGAGGCAGAGGGGGTCAGAGAGGAGCTCAGTGCTGAGGGGCTCGGTGGTCCTGCCTTTGGCAGCAGGCCTGTGGGTTAGAGAGTTCGGTCAGGGAGCCGTCTGGGCAGCGGGGAGACGAGGCGAGGCAGCAGAGGTGGCACATTTGAGCCCCTGTGTGCAGGCATGGCTGTGAAAGAGGACAGGCAGGCAGTGGTGCGTGGGACCCGGGTGGGGAGGTGGGGTAGGGTAGCCGTGGCTGCAGGTGAACTTCTGCACGTATGGCAGGCTTCCTGCTTGTTGGCAGCCTCTGTTTCCCTGTGTGGCAGGTTGTGAAGCCATTGCAGGAAGCGCAGGCTTGGAAGCTGGGACAGCGTGCAGATGGAGGAAGAAGGCTCTCCTGGCAACAGGGAAGGGAAATAGCAGCATGCATGGGTTTGTTGGCCAGCGTCAAAGACCATACAGAGAGGGGAGCCGTCAAGGCCAATTCCCCACTTATATCTGGGCACAGTGGCCTGATCTGAAGAGGTGCTACAGTCTCACGGTGAAATGCAATGGTGTCTTCTATTCAGGCATTGATACTAAATTATATGAAATGACTAGCAAGACTTGACGAAGGAGAAGAGGGATCAACATGGTCTCAGCCCCCTGGGTGCAGGAGAAGGACCCGAAGGGTAGTGGCTTGGTCTGGAACAGGCATTGTGCTGAGCACACAGGGAGGCATCTAGTGAAGGTAGAAAAGTCAAGTCTTGGAAAAGGCATTGGGGGTGGCATCCAAGAGGGGAGGAAGTAGTCTGAGAGAGCACAATGAGCACCTGGGCCCCAGCGCTTACAGTGCAGGCTGCCGGGAGCTCGAGGACTCATGCTCTTCCCTTAAACTTTTATCATTTCAATAACAGAGTAAAATCAGGAATTAATGCATTTCTAGCAGCTTTATTGAGATTAATTAATACACTACTCTATTTGCTCATTTAAAATCCACAATCCCACGGTTGGCAGTATGTTCAGAGTTGTATGATGACTCCCATGACCGATGACAGGCTCCCGGTTCAGGATATGCCTTCTTCACATCATTTTGAGAAGAGAGTAAGGCCACTTGCATGAAGCCACATGCAGTGTTTTGTAAAGGATGTGTTTCAGCATATTTCAGAGCTGCTGATCGCACGGCCCAGATTTTATCAAAATGCAAGATTTGCTTTCTTTCCCCTATGTTTGTTTTGAATCTGTTCTGGAGATGAGTGCCTTCCCCCTGTCTTGGGGGCTGCCTTTAACTCTCTGTTGTTAAAGGAAAACACAGGGTCCAGAGCCAGCCAGTCCTGGTTTGAACCCCAGATCTGTTACTTACCAACTGTGTGCCTTTGGCAAGTTCCCTAACCTCTCTGTGTCAGCTTCTTCTGTAATATTGTATAAACATAGTGCCTAGCTGATAGGATTCTTGTGAGGATTAAAGGAGTTGGTCCTAAAATGTATAGAAACCTGACAGATTGGAAGTGCTGTGGGCATTTGCTGTTAGTATTATCTGAGAATCTTAATTGTCGTGAGTTCGTGCTGGCCCTTACTTGTCATCGTGGGTGAGGAGTCAAGAAAGGAAACCTTCATCAGGAGATGTGTACATACTGTTTTCCTGCTTCATTCATTGACGCATGCCAGTCTGAATTAGGGAATATGTAGGGTTATGGCGTCTGCTAAGAGGAGTCCAATCTTATGGTCAAGGCGAGATGATTTTCATGCCAGCAAATGTGTTGACCTAGGTGAGTCTTCTCTTTGTAGTCCTGCCCTTCTTGTTCTGTCTGGCTGGTGCTGCTGCTGTCTGCTCCACTGTATTCCTGTCCTTGCTCCAGCAACCCCGGCCGGCTGACCCTTCTCCTCCCCTGTACCTGGTGTTTCTAAACACGGAATACTTGAAGACCAATGTAAAACCGTATGCATAAAAGTGCTGAATCGAATGTATTTGGTCTGCTCGACAAAATTAATAGCCTCTGTCAAGAAAAAGTTTTCTTTTTTTGAATTACCTACAGTGCTTAGCGCTGGATACTCAATAATAGTTACATTAGATCGAATAGTGAGAAAAATCTGTTTACTTACTATCTGAGAAATTTGTTCTTAGGCGTATAAGCATTTTTCTTATGCCGCAATTGTGTTAGTTTACGAAACAAAACCCTTTTTAAGTGGCTGGTGTAATGGTCACCTTCAGCCCTGCCTCATCCACGCATAGAGTGTAAACTAATGAACGGCAGGCCAAGTTGTGACCCAGGGCTGGGGAAAGGGTGCGCCGTGGTCTTGAAGGATGACAGAGGAGGGAGCGTCTTCTCAAAGAGTTACCATCGTCCTGGACAGTTGGGTGGTTTCAGTGACTCTGTTCTTCTGTCCACAAGGCAAGATGCCTTTTTGCTTTTGAAGCCAGTTCTAAGGACACAGAAGGGTCTGCCCTTCAGACTGCTTAACGTGGTGACACTTGTAAACTTGGGAATGGCAGAGAGTAGTGTATAGCTCATTTGCTAGGTCCTTAATATGCATTGTGTGCCCAGAACCCAATTCTTTGAGAGAGGGAGCAAGTGAGTGAGGGACAGAAAGAGAGAGAAGCAAGGCTTGTGTTTTATCTGAAGTGGGGCTCGAGCTCACAAACTTGGGAGATCATGACCTAAGCTAAAGTCAGATGCTTAACTGACTGAACTGCCCAGAACCCAATTCTAAGTTCTTTGAAGGGCAGGTGAAAAATCAGCAAGGAATACTCCTTGAGTCCAGTAAGCTTACACTTTGGACAAGGCAGTACACGAAAACCACCAATGAACTGGATTAGTGTATGTGTAAGTGCTTAATCGTGAGGGATTCCAAAGTGAGGTCAAGAGTGTCCAGGATAGACTTCAGAGACCAGGACAGACTTGAGCAGAGCCTGGACGATGGTGTTTAAGATGAGCATAGAGGGTGAGTGTTCCTGCTCCAGGAGTTAGGCTGCATGAGCAAGAGCGTGGTGCTAGCGCTGGATGTGGCACATCTGTGACCCTGAAGCCACTGGCCCAGCTGGAGGGAAGACCGAGTCAGATTTGCTCCAGCTCTGCTCCTATAGCCTTGGGCTCCATGCTCATGCTCTCCTAACCCCGTCACTGTCTACCAACCAGCAGGCTCTTTGAGGCTCAGCGCACTCCTATGGACACTACTGGAGCCTACCCATGTGGTGTGTTGAAAGCGTGGTGCACAGGATCCAAAGTGTTTGTGCCTGAATATTGTTTTCCTTGTCCAGGTCTGAGAGCTGAATCCAGCCCATTTGGACTCCCATCTCCCTAGGCAGTGGCTCTCGGCTTGCTTTTTCCTTTCCACAGAGCACTCCGCCCTCTTTCATGTTTCTGTAGGTCCCTAAAGGAACCGACCAGAACTGGGCTCAGAAGCTCTATGACCGGCACTCTGGCAGCCAGCACTTCCAGAAACCCCGCATGTCCAACACGGCCTTCATTGTGGTCCACTTTGCTGACAAGGTGAGCGTCTTTGTGGGTTTCGTGCACTGTGTGTGTTCCCTTCCCCCGCCAAGGGTCAAGGCTAACAGGGAGTGTGGTCTCTTTTCAGTTCAAGTGGCCTAAACGCTTCTTAGGTAGGGTCCTCTTGTACCCTTTTTTCCTTCCCCAGGCCCCCTCTGTGATCCATCAAACTGTCATTACATGGGAGAGCCCCAGGGGGTGGCAGGGAGGCTCTAGCTACGCAATCAAATGCTTAACCGGTATTTGAGGGTCTCTTTCCTGGGAATGCAGGGGTGGTAAGATAGTCGTGTTCTCCCTGGACAGAGGAGGAGGATGTGAGAACAGGAGGCTGCGCTTCTGCAGGTGGCTCCTTTCCGAGGAACCGGTGTACACAGAATTCTGCTATGCGGATTTCTGCTCTGTTTGCGCTAGGCCGAGCTGCCCAAATTTTAATCTTAACGTAAATCATCTGGGGTCTCATTAAAATGCAAATTCTAATTCAGTGGCCTTTTCAGCGCCCGACGGCTGCCTTAGGCCATCTTACGGGAACTCCTGTTTTAAAACAATGTTTGTCCACAAAATGAATCCCCCATTTGCTCTGTGCAAGTCCTGATCACAGCTTGGGTTTGCATGTTTAATGGCAACATCTGTGGGTTTCCCGGCTACTCACAACTCGTGAGGAAACCAGTGCGGATGAGCCGCAAGGATTAAGTGCACAAACAGTCGTGGAAGGTGCCAGGTCAGGCAGGCAGAAGCGCTTGACTCTTGTTTCTGTTTCCCTCCGGGGCTCCAGGTGGAGTACCTTTCAGATGGTTTCCTGGAGAAAAACAGAGACACGGTGTATGAAGAGCAGATCAACATCCTGAAGGCCAGCAAGGTAAAGGGCATCAGAGATGGAGAGCTAGAGCAGGACCGCCTACGGCCAGGGCTGTGTGTGGGTGTGGGGGGTCTGCTCTGGAGTGGGGGAAGGCAGGGGGGAGGTGAAGGGGCTGCTAGGTTATTTCCATCTGAAGATATTTGAGGATGGCCTGCTGGAGGGAGGAAAGCAGGAGATGGTGTAGGATGCGCAGGGGAGCAACTGGGAAAGATCCCAGCTAATGGAGGTACATTGCGGGGCTGGGGGCAGGGAGAGAGGCACCGAGGGGACGGCAGTGAGTATATCCATGAAAATGTCACTGGTGTCCATTATGTCTTTAATCATCATGCCCTATATGCAGGTATAAAGTGATTTCAACTCTCTAAAATCCTGGTATCAATGCACGTCATTTCTGCTGAGCAGCTACAGACCCTCCCTATAAGCAGACACATAAATGGAATAGAAAGAGGGCACCTGGGAGACTCAGTCAGTTGAGTGACTTTGGCTTGGGTCATGATCTTGTGGTTTGTGAGTTTGAGCCTCACATCGGTCTCTGTGCTTACAGCTCAGAGCCTGGAGCCGGCTTTGGATTCTGTTTCTCCCTCTCTCTCAGCCCCTTCACCAGTTGCACTCTGTCTCTCTGACTCAAAAGTAAATCCAATTTGATTTACAAAATTGGAAGACAGAAGGATTTGAGGGAACGTTGACTGTCTTTTAGGTCCTTTATTTCCTTCTCATGAGCATAACAAAAACAGCAAATACTGTGTCCATTCTATAGGCAGAGATTAAAAGGCACTGAGTCACCTAAGCAAATATTAAACACCAAGAGGCACTGCCTGCCCCCACACCCAGCATCATACAAAGTTGGATAAGACCAATCCTACCTTGTAGGTGCTTATATTCTAGTGGGCTGAGAGTGGCAGGTAATCATATGATAGCTGAACAGAGGGGAGATGCAGGGAGAGGGCCCCGCAGCATGAGAGACCAGGGCACTGCCTTTCCGGGGCGGGCAGAGTACTGATGCGCATGCTGTTGGCGGCTGCAGCCCTTCAGAGAAAACCCAGAAACAGACTCACCAGGATGTGGGAGGCTTTCTCCCGAACCTCATGATCCTGCTCTCCCTGCAGCCACCTCATAACACCAGACATTGCAGATTAATGGCTTGTTGTGATAAGCTTCAGACAAATGCAATAGGGTGAGATGCTGGAATGGAGAAAATACACCAAGCAGAATGGTCCCAAGGACAGAAGGACCAGTAAAGCCCATTAAATCACATGGCCCCACGTGAGGGGTCTAGTGAGGCTTTGAGTTTGTACCAGCACGTGGGAGACTCAGGGCAGACCCCTGCTCTGTGCCCTTTCTGGATATCTGGACCATCTGGGAATTAGTTGCTCCTGAGGGAAATTTGGGTAAATGAGCAGATCACTTAGGAATCCAGCACGAGGTCAACCTCTCAGCTTGCCAAGTCTGCAGTTCTATAGTCCATGGTGGCTAATAGGACTTTATCCATTCGTGAAAGGCAGGTGGGGACAGAGGAGGCACAGTCCGCAGGGAGAAAAGAAGTAGGGTGAGCTACCAAGGTGTGAGCTCTCGGAGCACGTTGCCTCATCACAAGTTTCTTACATGCTTGGAGCCCTGTGACCTCCTGTTAGTGACACAGTGGCCTCAGAAGCTGAGAAGCTTCACTGTTTTGTTAGAAGTTTCTTCTTCCAGGTTGGAGTACAAGTGAGGGGTGAGTCGGGGGTAGAGTCAGGTACTTGGCGTTTAAGTGCAGAGTTTGGTTCTGCTGTTATATTAATTTTTTTTTTTAGGGTCTCTCAGAGATCTTGAAAAAGAGGAATCTCTCTCCCTCTCTCCAGCAGATCATCTTTTGTTAGTAACAGATTGTTTTGCCCCTTAATTTTATTGGGTCTTTTTCTGTTATGCAGTGGTAACGAATACATATAGTTAAGTTCATGGATCTTACGGTCTAGTGAAAAAGATAGGAGTTTTGGTAATGCTGTGAAGGTCAAAAAGGGTGGTATGGATAAAGCAATTTGTTGTGCGTCCCCAAGACCACCCCTAAATTCAACTATTTGCTAGTAATAGCAAATAGTTCTCTCAGAACCCAGCAGATAGTTATGCTTCAGGCTATGACTTATAGATCACAAGGATACAAAACACATCAGCAAAGGGCGAGGTACGTGGGGTGAAGTCCAGAGGAAACCATGCCCAAGGTGACAGTCCTTTTCCAAGGACACAGAATATGCTTCATTCCACAGCAGTGAGTCGTGATGTGAAGTACAGACCAGGGCAGCTGGTCTGAGCCATGGCATTCAGAGTTTTTATCAGGAGTCCATTAGGGAGGCACCCTTTGCCTGGCACATAGCACAATTTCAGACTCCCAAAAGGAAGGTAGGAGTTAAACATTATATTGTTTGCATGAACCTCTTAGACCCAGTGAACCATTCTTTTTTTTTTTAAATAGGTTATTGTCAAGTTGGTTTCCACATAACACCCAGTGCTCATCCCCACAAGCACCCCCCTCCCCCCCCCCCCCCCCCC